CATACAGCCGAAGACCTGATTCGGGTCGTCCAAAGAAAACATCGGCTCGGGATGACTGTTTTTTAACGCTGACCGTGTTCCGTAATAGGGATACGACCGCAGTTGAGGCCAGAAATCAACTTGAAGAAACACGAGGAGTTAGTGTAAGTGAAAGAACTGTAAGAAAAAGGTTAACTGCAGCTGAATTGAGGGCCCGTAGACCTGCAAGTGGCCCAGAACTTCTCCCACGCCATAGAATAGCCCGACTTGCATTTGCTCGAGAACACGTTAACTCGGATCTTGCCCAATGGGGCCAAGTACTCTTTACAGATGAGTCGCGTTTTTGTCTACGTTCTCCTGACGGCCGTCAAAGAGTATGGCGAAGAAGAGGCGAAAGGTAGGCTCAGTGCAATATTGTTTCCAGACTAAGTTTTCATGGAGGTTCTGTGATGGTCTGGGCAGGAATTTCTGCCGAGGCTCGCACGGAACTTGTAGTGGTGGATAGAGGCACAATGAATGCTGATCGATATGTAGCAAATATTCTTCAAGAGCATGTCGTACCTTTTGCTCCTTTTATTGGCGATAATTTTATTCTAATGCATGATAATGCTAGACCACATATCGCTAAAGTTGTACAAACCTACCTCGACGAATTCGGGATTTCACGTATGGAATGACCAGCACGCAGTCCCGACCTGAATCCAATTGAGCATGTGTGGAACATGTTAGGTAGACGTATCAGAGCACGTGTGCCGGCCATACAACACATAAGAGATCTTGCAAATGCGCTAGTTGAAGAATTTGACCAATTAGCCCAGGCTGAGATTAGACACCTCATAGAAGGTATGGGAAGACGTATGGCAACCGTAATGCAAGCTAGAGGCGGCAACAGTCGTTAATAATGATATGTTAAGTAGTCTTTTGTTGGTTTAATGTAATGGATTTTCTGGTATTTTTTAATAAACTCGTAATTGTTGCAACTTCAGCGAAGGTCCCGTTACCTTCTCATCTCCTTTGTCCTAGATAAACTAATTTGTCTTATAAATGTGACGCACACCAGAATTTATTGGAGATTTCTACAAAAATAGTAATGATTCGATTTTTTTGCCGGTGAGTGTAGAAACGGGGTCAGTTATATGTTCTTTTATAGAGTGGGAATGGTAAGTAACTGATAGAAACTAAGATGTCAAAAAGCGTGAATCATAACTATTTTGTTGTATCATTTGTTATAAGATTTATTTCTTATTTCAGAAGAAAAAAAATTGGTCTAAAGAGTTTAGACAGTACTTCCCTCGCTGTCGGAAACTTGACGACTGCATGCCTATTGTGTTTTTTTCTCATTACATTTTTGTAGTGGGAATTTAAAAAAAATTGCGATGACGTCATCAACATTTTTGCGAGGACAAGTATATCAGTTGGGATAGATGTAGTGTAATACTAAGAATAAAATTATTGTATTCCCAAATTTGCGGGAAAAGAAATTGGGTCGTTTTGAATATTGATTTGTTATAATCAATAAAATAACGAAACAATTTACTCACGCATACGGCGCCGGTGTGTAATATGTAGAGAGCGGATTTCTGTCGGGCTAGGCAAGGCCAAACTCGGTACGGCTCGTACGGGATGCGAATTCATTGCGGTTACGGACTGCACTTCGTTTATTTGAGATTAGAATAACGCTGTTTCGTTGCACTCTGCTGTTAATTCCCGTTCTCATTTACTTAGCCGTTTGATTAATAAATCATTACTTATATTTATGGAATTAGTACCGATTAAATTCAGTGATTATCTATCACCCGCTATTGAGTCCCGGCGATCCAGCGCGTCCCCACCTATAATCGTGACGTAGCCCGACAGAAATCCGCTGTCTAGTAATATGAGAGGCAACTGAAAATCGTTTATGTATAAACATTCTTAATTTAAGATGACAAGCGTAACAGCATACGTGAGAGTCAAACAGAGAAACTGTAAACAAAACGACCATCGGTTTTATTGCTTCGACTTCCGCTTATTATATAGAACATTGAGTTTTATTTTAATTTTTGACGGTGGAATTCACAATTGGTTGATTATAAACATGTCTATTCCACATTCGCGGAACCTAGACAGCGCACACGTCTGTAATGTTAAAGTCGATGTAAATAAGCGTGCTACCCTTATGTTTCAACCGAGTTTTTACTTTAAAAAATTTTGTGTCTACCAAATTGGGTTGGTCCAATGTAATACTAATAATAAGCGTTGCCTTTAATTTAATCAATAAAATAAATTGACTTCATTAATTTTTTTGAGCCACCTCTTAAGAAAGTCTAAAAAATATGAATGAAGTGATAAATCACAAGTACAGACTCATCATATTTTTACGCTTTAGATAGGATTTATTCGGTAAACTTTCGAGCTGACGTCATCAAATTTTTTGAGGGGGGATTAGCAAATACATTTTGATAAAAAAGTTAACGTGCTTATGATAACTTTAATACATCTCCTATGTTTCAAAGCATTCGGTTTTGTAGTTCCTGATTAACTCAATAAAATAAATTCACGCATTCATTAATTTTTTGAGTCACTCTGTATATGCAAATCGAAAAAATTTGAATGGAATGATAAATCACAAGTACAGACTCATCATATTTTGTACATTTTAGATAGGATTTATTCAGCAAAATTTTGGGGTGACGTCATCAATTTTTTAGGGGGGATGAGCAAATACATTTTGATAAAAAATTTACCATGCTTATGATAACTTTAAAACATCTCCAAGATTTCAAAGCATTCGGTTCTGTAATTCCTGATTAAATCAATAAAATAAATTGACGCATTCATTAATTTTTTTGAGTCACCCTGTATATGCAAATCGAAAAAATTTGAATGGAATGATAAATCACAACAAGAGACTCACCATATTTTGTACATTTTAGATAGGATTTATTCAGCAAAATTTTGTGGTGACGTCATAAATTTTTTAGGAGGGGACGACCAAATACATTTTGATCAAAAATTTACCATGCTTATGATAATTTTAAAACATCTTCAAGATTTCAAAGCATTCGGTTTTGTAGTTCCTGAGTAAATCAGTGAAATAAATTTTGCGCATTCATTAATTTTTTTGAGTCACCCTGTATATGCAAATCCAAAAAATATGAATGGAGTGATATATCACAAGTACAAACGCATCATATTTTGTACATTTTAGATAGGATTTATTCGGCAAACTTTTGAGCTGACGTCATCAAGTTTTTGGAGGGGATAACCAAATATATTTTGACTAAAGATTTATGATGCTCTTTAGAGCCTTAAAATATCTGCAACATTTTAAAACATTCGGGTTAGCAGATTCAAAATTAAATTGCAAAATATTGTTTTATGATTTTGATTTTTTTTCCAAAAATCTGGACGTTTCGGGTAAAAACTGAATTCGGAGTCGTAAACTACATGTGCAGGACTATGTTATTTTATACAATTTAAGACCCATTTACTATGTACAATTTTGAAGTGACGTCATCGCATTAGTGGTGGGGATGATTAGACAAATTTTGGTTAGCGTTTTACCATCTACATGATATTCCTAATAGAAGTACAAAATTTCATAACAATCGGTCCAGTACTTTTGGAGATTATCTGTCTAATAAAAATCCGGGACGGCAGACGGACAGAGGGACAGACAGACGGAAATGGGAGACCTATTTCTTCGTATTCTAGGAGTCATGAAAGATCGAGAAAACGTAAAAGTAGAGAGTCGGCCGACGGACTCGATTACAATACTTCCTTTGCTTACGCTCGGGAAGTAAAAATGAGAGAACTCACCCAAATCATTCCAGTTACTACTCATAATATGGTTCAGCCTTATCGTTGCAAGTACTAGCCCCACCCACCCGCCCTCTATTTTCTTGGAGGTATGTGACTTGCCAAAATCAGTCTTATCTTAACAAGTACTAGGCCCGCCCACCCTCCCTCTTCTCATTTTAGCGACTAATTTTATTTCTGCATAAGATCCACCTTTCATTCAGAGCAGATAAAATCAATCATCGAAATAGAGGCGAGCGGGTGGGCGGGTTTAGATATATGTTCTTCTGTAGAGTGGGAGTGGTAAGTAACTGATAGAAACTAGGCTGTAAAAATGCGCTAGTCTTAACTATTTTGTTGTACCAATTGTTATAAGATTTATTTCTTATTTCGGAAAAAAAAATGAGAAAACGGGTGGGCGGGCGGGGCTAAGATTAGTTTTTCCTAGGGAGTCTTATAGGCAATAGACATTGCCAAGAGCTACTTAGTTGCTCCATCGTAAATAAGAATCTGATGTTTAAGGAATTTTACACAAATTAAAAAATGAACTGAAAATTTAATGAGAGCAGTCTTAAACTAGGTGTATTGTTGGTTGCCTATTGGAGCTACTTACATATAAGTAATGTTGCGCACAAACAAGATACAAAACTATCATCTTCTATACGCACTATGTGAAAACTGTTATTATTATTTCAAAATTTCTAAACACAACTAACTTTATGTAAATAAGTTAGTATTGATATTAAAATTCAACTGTAAAACAACAGTTGCTGCAAAATTTTTAGCGCCCTCAAATAATTTTCCCTCCAAAGAAATTTAAGTCTCGCATGCGCACAAGTTAAACGAGCAACTATTTTATTTCTAATTTTTTCCTGAACTTACTACTCGTTTTTTTTTTCGTTTTGGTTTAATAGTCAATAATAATTTTAAATTGCAAAATCTTAATTATATTTAACTTTCATGCTTATTGTTTTTTATGCATAGATTTTTGCAATTCATGTTAAAAATAAGCATTAATTTGATAACGACTGATTATAAAGTTGCGATGTCTGGTTAAAATAACAAACAATATTATTATTACAAAATAAAAGAGCGTTGCCTCAAACCGACTATTAATTGAGAATTTATCAAAATAATGGCGCCTTGAACTTAGCTAACGCAGATTATACGCGTGTTTAATGTCAATGTAAACTTTATACAAATATAGATAAGTAGTGAACTTTAAATACATTTTTTAACACTTTTTCAATTAGTCAGCCATCAGCAAGAAAAAACGTAAGATGAAGTACACGAGAAGAAGTAACAACTTTCTTTGTATTAGTATTGCTTTATGTGTCGGTGGTCTGTGTTTAATTGTAAGCCGACCTATTATTGGCGATTGTTTGCTATCTCTAGAATGCAACCCCCTTTTATTTAATATGTGGAAAAATGTTGCCTACGACGTATACGTCGAACTATATTTATTCAACTGGACCAACCCCGAAGACCTCCACAATATGTCTGTTAAACCCAGGTTTGAAGAAATCGGACCGTTTGTCTTCCAATTAGACGAAGAAAAGTGGAATATTGTGTGGAACAACAACGGTACGGTTACATTCCAGCAGCGACGATTTTGGTACTTTAAAGACAATGAAAGAAGCAGTTTGGACAAAAAAGTCACCAACGTTGACGTGATATTCCTAGTACTGTTTACCACGTATTTTAGCAATATATTAACAAAATGTTTCAGGGCATATCCTACGCAACGCGAAACTGGAACTACTACGTTCGTAAGGGAGTGTTTTTAACTTTGTCTACCTACTTCCCAAAGATATATAGAACCCAAACAGCCCGAGATTTACTTTTCGACGGATACCCGGAACCCGTTCTAGGGATAGTAAGCGCCATGCCTTTTTTTAAACATTTGGAGGTACCCCGCTGGAATCGATTTGGCTGGCTGTACTCCGTAAGTACCATGTTCGCGCCACAATACTACCAAGTTTCAAGTAGCGAAATGGTTCTTCAGAATGCGACGGCGTTTTCAATGTAGGTACCGGGAGGAATTCGGTTTTGGGAAAAATGTACAACTGGAACTACCAATCAAGAACTGGGTACTTTGAAGGCGACTGCGGGAAGGTTTCTGGCTCCGCTTCGCAGATGTATCCCAGGAATCTTGTCCGCGGTGAACCCATTGAAATTTTCTCCACGGATTTAAGGCGAACTATTTTTCTCAAATACGTAGAAGACGAATACGTAGAAGGAATTTTAGGTTATCGCTATACCGCAACGAACTATACAATGGATAATGGTGTGTGGACTATCTTGCTTTCGTGGGCATTTATATAATATTTGAAATTTTTAGGTACAATTGACGCCAAAAATAAATGTTTTTGTCCTGATGAATGTATACCTTTTGGTATGATGAATCTGTCTTCGACTAGACACACTGCTCCTATATTTGTTTCGTTACCTCATTTTTACACAGCCGATCCTTACTACATTAATTTAGTTGATGGTTTGAAGCCAGATGAAACTGCACATGATTCTTGGATGATTGTGGAACCTGTAAGTTCGCAAAAATACTAATTCGTTTAAAAAAAAACATGTTTTTTAGATTACTGGGACGATATTAAAGACTGGTGTGAAAATTCAAGTTAATGTATTGATGCAGCCAGTGACCGGTACTGGTACCCAGTACGTTGGTTGTTTGTTATTTCATTTTGATTTAGGTTAATTTGTCTTCAGGTTGTTTGAAAATGTGCGAAAACTATTTGTTCCAATGGTGTGGATGAATTTCAAGACAACAATTCCTTTCAAGGGACAGCTTTTTGTGAAAATCGTCCTGATAGTACTTCCAGGAATTACATGTTTAGGTGTTATTATGATAATAACTGCAGCTTTTTTGCTGTGGTATGAACGTAGAAATGATCCAAGACGGCTACAGAGTTTATCGCAAGTACAACTTCGAGAAAATCGGTCAAAATCGTGACAATAATAAAAATAATTAAAATTTAGTTGGATGTATAATGTTACCTCTTCCCTTTTTAAAGATTACTTATAACACCGAAGATATATAAGTAGTACTTTGTTCAGAGATACTTCTAGATGATTCAGTGTATGAGTGAAGTGTATTGTTTGTTGCCTACTATATCTAGCACAATTTGTTACATTCAGAACCATCAGATTTACCTTTTTTTCGAAAATATCAAGATTTTTCTTTACTCCAACATCAAAATTAACAAACTTCAGTTTTCTTCTCAATTTTGTAAAAAAAATGGTACCTACAAGGAAGTTAATGTTAATAACTATGGTATCTAGTGGGTTCATTGTTCGTTCCTTCAAAAATAAAAAAAGATAAATATTATTCAAGACGACGAAACTTCTGTATATTGATATAGATTGATATAAAAATAATGAACAACAAACGTCCTTAAGTTGATATTTTCTGGATTATATTGTTTAATCCACTGCATTATTACAACTTTCATTTGCATGTAATTTGCGAAACTGACGCTTGTACAACCTGTTTTTTAATTATGTTAAATACATGCAGTTCGGGTTTAATTATAAGTTTACAATATTTCTTTTTTTTTTTCATTAAAAAAAAAATGTAATGAGATTTTAATACATATAATAATAATGCGAAACTCATTGGGGAAACTAACCAAACGCAATATCATGAGAAAGGACTTTACTTTCTGGACGTACGTACGGCGTTGATGGGTGAGTCATCATTGCTGACGGTGTCGACGCAGCGTTCCACAAAGCCAAGTCTGGAGCGGCTTATCGGAAGTCTCGATTGCGGGCCCAGAAAACTCTCGATGCGGCGTTCTGGATCCATCGAGAGGCATGCATAGGTTTAAATACAGGCCACCGTCGGGAACAGGAAGGAGTCAGTTGAACCACGAATCCAGCGAATGTTAAGAGGAGTCAGATCAGGCGCCGGAAATAGTTTGTACATAATCGCTGTAATAGTTAGCCGTGTATATTCGAGTTAGTAAGGAATAAATTGTTGAGTTTTACCCATGCCGATTTTAATTCACCGAACATCGTAACATTATTCAAAATAAATATATGGAATTCGAAGGGAGGACTGTTTTTTTTTATTATTATTTAAGTGTATTTATTATTCGTTGCGACAATCCAAACATCCCGCCTTAAATTTACATTTTTTAATTTTTTAAAATTTAAAAATTCAAAATTTGGCCTTGGCTGTGATCGTCTAACCTCTAACAAAATGGAACCCTACGTTGTGTTTTTGAAAAATGGCGGGATGCGTTAAGATGCAAATGGTGGACCCCAAAGTTGGATAAGTACCGCTAAATAAACACAAAATTTATTCCTCCACTGACAAAAAAAAAGAGAAAAAAAAGCTGCGTGCGAGGGCGACTCGTGACTTGCCCTCAGGCTGCCCAGAGGGGGCCGAATCGAATCGCTGTTCAGCTCCAAAAAAAAAAAAAAAAACTTTGAATGACTTGGAATGAAATGAAATTAAACGTTCTGAATCAATGCAAATATCTGAATATCACACATGTAATTTTTAACGTTGCGAGAAAATGCCTCGGTGACGAAATCAATCTTTAACGGTGTGAGGAAATGCCTCGGTGATGTAATCAATCTTTAACGTTGCGAGGAAATGCCTCGGTGATGTAATGATGATAACGATGGTAACTGCCCAAAGGAAGAAATTATTTTAACCCCCCTCCCCCCCTACCAGTTTACGAGATTATGAATTTTGTTAATTTAACTGCCGTAAATGAACTATTAGCAATCTTGTGTGAAGAATTAAGAAGTGTTATAATATAACACACTTAAGTATTTGCATCCATAAACCTCATTCGTAATTAACAACACGCGGAATTGTATCTCATACGCTAGAACCAGTGCTGTCGCGGCGATAGTTTGATTACAAATATATTTTTCTTTTGGACTATTTCAACATAATATAACAATTCAAGATCACAAATTTGTGGTCCTGTAGTTATTTGAAGTAATATAGTAATATAAAAGTAGTTTTTTTACTAGCTGTAAACACTCCTAGCGACGCACTGGCTACGACCTTGTGGACCAGATCAAAACGTCCCCGCTACTTGTCGTAAAACACACCTTACTTCAACTGGGGAATTGCAGCGGTGAGATAAATTCCCGCGTACTGGTAATTAAACAAACAAAGGGTGTTATCCTGACTAAGTGAATTTCATGAAATCTCTTAGTAAGTATTTATTTAAATAAAACTAATGTCTGTTAAATTGTGTTAGAACCAGTTAACGATTAAAATCCTAACCTGTTCGGTGAATTTACAAACAATAAAACAAATTTACAGCACATGTAGCGTCGGTCGAAAATTAGCACCTTTTCCCGATTAGAAAGCCGCGTATTGGAGAAAACTGTGACGTCATCGTTACGATTAATTTTCGTTAAACAAAGGCTTCCTCCCTTTTATTAACTACCAAGCCAACTAATTTAACCTAGCTAACTTACAGCGTCCTTTTCACCATACTCACACAACTAAAACATCCTCTAGCGACCTACCAACTACCCACAAAGCGCTAACGTGCACATGGTTGCCTATGTTTAACGATATTTTTATTGAATTTTTTTCTCAAATTCAAATTATTCAAATGTGATTTCGCGCCGCTGTTAATTGATTTCAGGGCGAAAAGTTGATTCAAATTAGGTCACCACATCGTCATTAACCAAAGAGGCGAGAATACATGGTCACGTGATGCTGAGTTTGTTGGGTAATACCTGCCAACCAGCTTAATCTTGACATTTTAAAATACAGACTGCTATATCTATATATCAAGAGTTGTTGAAGATAGTGGGTGTTTATAAATATTTTCTCACTATGTAGTAGCAGTTGGTAGAGGGTTCCTGGAAGAGTTGTGCAGCTGCATTTCACCTATAGATTATATATGTGAACGTCATTTTCTCTATCTCAATTTTACCGAACACCTGCCTGTTTCAGTTTAGAGGACAGAAAATTGGGAAGAAATATTTCCTTCGTGGTTTTATCTAAGCTTGAAAGAAAATATGATATTAATGTAAAAACTAATTAGGAAACTTTTGATAATTTAAAGCAGAGAAATGTCTATGACATGTTATATTATTCGCAGAAGAAACGTGAACTGATGATTCATACCACCATCATTTTATATTATTTACATTTAAAATTCAACAGGTTCACAGAAACTGTGATTTATACAAGATATAAATTTAAAACGACAAGATGGCGTTTAGTTAGGCGAATTGCGAAATTCATAGAATACAACTTTATGTAAAGAAGTTAGACCTAATTGTAACTTGAATGACATAATTTGACCAAAGAAAACCACACAAAATGAACCTTTTTACTTCCGAGCGTACGCTAAGGAAGTATTGTAATCGAATCTATCGAGCGACTGGCTAATTTCATATTTTCTCTATAGGTCATGACCTCTATACTACGAAAAAATAGATCTCCCGTTTCCGTCTCTCTGCCTGTCTGTCGCGGTAATGTGTCGATTTTTGTTAGACAGATAATCTCCGAAACTGCTGGACAGATTGTTCTCAAATTTGATAAGTATATATTTTGTCTAATCATCCCCACCAACAATGAGAGACGTCACCTCAAAATTGTACATAGTAAATGGATTTTAAATTCTATAAAATACCATACTCCTACACGTGTAGTTTATGAATCCGTGTTGAATTTTTATCCAAGACATCGACATTTTTAATGTTTTAATGAATGAGTCAGTTTATTTTATTGATTAAATTAGAAATGATTCACTGCATTTTCGCAAAAATTTTCTAACGGAGAAACTTATTTTAAGCACAAGCGGCAGACTTCTTTAAATTTACTTAAAATTACATACATATCTTTATTCGAACTTTCACAAATTTTATAATTTTTTGAAAAAGTTGAATGTTCAGGGCGAGGCAAGAAAAATTTTCAAATATAGCAAATTTTTTCAGACATATGTCTGATTTGTAATTGCAGACGCTGACGCTTCAGATAATGTGTACAATCTAAAGTGGAAAAGATAACGCTTACATTTTAAAAAACCCCCAGTCTTAGATAAACAAAATTTACAACCGCTTGCAGTAGTTGAAAAATTTGTCAAGCATTCACTGTTTAAGTACGTGTTCTACATGTTTGTTATTTCACAACATACAAATAAATAAGTAAACCAGATAATAGTGGCAAATTTTTCGCAATTAGAACAGATTTCCATTGTTTGAAAGGGAATAATAGAACTTTATCAATTCCAAAAACCACAATGTTGATTGCTAAATAATTGACAGGTGTTCACAGATCCTAACTATATTTGCTGATACGAAATGATTGATTTATCTAAACTGTTAGCACAGCAATCACGAACAGTCCATTCATGACAGGTTGTGGGAAAAGGTAAGTGTCATAAACAAAATATTACACACAAAAATTTATTTTCGAAAAAATTGCACTTAAACATACACTCAAAACCACATTACTACATTTCCACACTCGAAAACGCTCGCGCTTTACACCAACCACTGAAAATTACAACCCCACTCTACGTCATTTTGAAAACGACTGCGTAATCTTACGCAACACATCGCTCACCCAATAACAACAGATTTCAGAAGTTGATTCGAAAAATCTGATGGTCGATGCTTTGAAAGTGGTGTACTTCACTCCGAACACAACAACCGCAAGGTGAAGATGAAGCCAAAGAAACTGTGTTTAATTTGTGTGTCCGTTTTGCTGATAATTTCTGGATTTCTCATCACTCTCCTTGCTCCAATTGTCCTGACACACGTTATTCGCACGCAATTCGTACTCACACCTGAATCAAAACTCGCGCAGTCATGGGAAAGGGTTTCGAGTATGATGCCCATGGACTTTTATTTTTTCAACTGGACGAACCCACAAGATATCTACAACAGGAGCGTCAAACCGAGATTTGAGCAGGTCGGACCTTATCGTTTTATGATGGATTTAAGGAAAACGAATGTCACGTGGAATGAGAATGGAACGGTGACGTACAAACAACAGAAATTTTGGCACTTTAGTGAAAAGGGGACGAACGGTAGTTTGCAGGATAGAGTAACCACGCTGAACACACCTGCTTTGGTGAGACTTTTTTTTTATTGTTAAGAACTTTTCAAAGTCAGACGAAATTTGATGGGTACTGGTACCCGTTTTACCTCGTTGTTATTTATTGACTAAGAACCAGTTTATGAGACAAAAGACGTGTGATTGGGAGAAAGGACTCATTAGTAAACGTCTGCATTTTTGTAGCGATAAAGTAATGTCGTTGACTGATTATTTTTATGCGTTCCATTGATAAAGGACGTTGCTCATTCGTAGCCAAATATTGACCGTCAAAACATTCAATTTTTTTTTGTGGACGCGAATAATTAATCTGAATATTTATAACGCTAAAGGTGTCTGCTTTAACGCTGTAACCCTTTCTATAAACAAATATATATTTTATCTTTTCGTTGATAAACACAGGTTTACTCAAAATTGAAGTAAACACAAACAATATCTAAATGTTGATTTTGTTTTATTTCTAGAAATCAGTGTAAATCCACGCGACAGCATCGTTGCCATATTGTGCTTATACACTTGTTCTATAATACAACTGTGAAGACTATAAACAATCAGCTTACAAAATTAATTGACCGAACGCTATGAACCTTGAATTTTAATTTTTAAAAATCCAGGTTTTTACCGAAGCCAGTTTTTGTAAAACAAACAAATCTTAAAAAACCTTTCAGGATATAAACAACAAAGAGGTCACTATGTAATCACGAATGCAAATGTGCAATATTTAACCTCTTTTTATAATGAAGGCAATTACACGTTTATAATATAATCTTTTTATTAGAATTGTAAAAATTTAATTTAAAAACAAATAAAAACAGTGTCACTCTAAGTATGTATTGTGTGCTCCGTTGACTTTGTCTCCTAAACAATTTATTATCATATAAAAAATTTAAAAAATCTAGTGAACCTCCTGTCGAACCTACATCTTTTAATGGCAATTAATTTGGATAAATGCAGTGGCCTGGTTTGCATAAACAACAGTAATGACTTATATAATTATTATGATTAGTCCTACATACGACCGTAATACTTATGATTAAGTTTTGCAGTTTTTATGTCCTTCTTTTTAATATGTTTAACATCACTTTAGGCCATGACAACCAGTTTCATCTATAAAAATATTAATATAACTCACCGAACCGGTATCTATACCTACTACTGTGTTAAGTATTAACATTACGACAATTTTTTATCACCAGGTATAATACTTCTGCTTGTATTTGTAGTCCTAATGACAAAACAAATCAATATTTTTTTAACAGTGGGAATTAATTTCGACACTAATAAATTTGTGCCGGTACAACACATCAGAAAAGATGACTGTTGAGGCGTCCTTGGTTCAATTTTATTACATAAGTGCACTAAGCGAATTTTCACGTTAAATTATTTTCATTTATGGTTTATAGGTTGGTCAATTTTAAGGGCGCGGTATTCAAGTGTGAGAACGGCGCCAGATTAGTAAATAAGATTTTTGACTGCTCTAATGGAATATTAGTTATCAGTGAAATAGCAATATTGATTTTTTAACGAGTCCGCAGAAGTAATGTTTAATGTACACTGTCTCTGTTTGCAGATATTTTAAGATATGTAAGAAAAGTTTTTAGGTCAGGTTAATCTCAAGTGCGAAAAGATATCCAGAAAGTGTAATCATGTTACATTACTTTTGCTCATTTTTAATTTTTAAAATAAACGACAATATGAGTCTCATTTAAAGTTTTAGCTAATTGGATCGTATATTTACTAAATTAATTACAAAAAAATTGTCTGTGGGAATTCTAAGCAAATTAATGACACAAAGCAGTTTTTTTTATAAAACTACTAAGTACATTCATCACTTTCAGCGTTGGTGGATAGTGAAGCAGTTAATTATCCTGAAGCAATTCATTTACATGCTTTCGTTATCCTAAGCACAGTTGTTGGCCCGTTAAATTTTAAATTATCATAAGTCAACAAAATCAAAGATTAAAAACCCTAATTTCAGTTTATATTAGTGTTGCGTCTACTCCAAACAGTAAAGTATTGCTACGTTGAACGGTTATTTAAAAATCGGCGTGGGTAAAACACAACAATTTATTTCTTAGTAACTCAAATTTACGACTATACTTCCTTCTAGAGGTTTCGTGATCGAGGTCTTTCTGGAATACTCATCGCGATTTCCGCTTCTAACAAGTCACAAGTCTTGACCACAAGTTCTTGTTATATTTTTCCTACTATTTAAATCCTCTTTGACAAACAACAAACCCACATTATTTCAAAAATATCGTTTCAGGGTGCTGCTCACGTCGCTCGCAACTGGAACTACATAGTCCGCAAAGGCCTCTCTTTCTCGTTAAGCAGCATTTCCGTAACTCACACCGTCGACGAACTCCTCTTCACTGGGTACCCAGACGCTCTAACCAAAATGGCCGGAACTCTACCCTTCTTCGCAGACAAAAATATCCCAAAGTGGGACAGATTCGGCTGGTTTTATATGGTAAGTACGCACCAGAAGCCTTTTTTTGCTACATTTTCGTCTTTTCATTTGAGAGAAACGGTTCAAGTGATTTTGAAGGCATCCTGAACATGGAAACCGGAACAAACTCCCCTTTTGGAACACTCAACAGCTGGAACTACTGGACCAAGACTCGGTACTTTGATGGCAACTGCGGAAAAGTTGAAGGGTCCAGCGGAGACAGGTTCGACGCCAGTGGAAACACCATCAAAATGTTCTTTTCGGAGTTGTGTCGCTTTCTGGAGTTGGAATACGTTGGAGAAACTGAGGTGGACGGTATAGTGGGAAAGAAATATGTTTTAGGAGGGCGTGCACTGGATAATGGTATAGTTGAAACTTGTTTAGGTAGCTGTTATTTTTACGTGGTTTTAGGTACTAAGTACCCGAGCAATAAATGTTTTTGTACTGGTGACTGCATGCCTTCTGGTGTTTTCAATGCATCTAGTTGTCAATTCGGATCGCCTACTTTTATGTCGTTGCCGCATTTCTACAACGCAGATCCGTACTATACTAGTCTGGTTGAGGGTTTAGGACCACGACAGGACAAACATGAATTCTGTATGGTCCTGGAGCCTGTAAGTTTTCATTAAGGGGAAGTAAATCTGTGAAAAGTAAAACTATTGCAGAAAACGGGTGTCCCTCTGCTAGCAAATGCTAAACTTCAGGTCAATTTCTTGCTGCATTCAGTAGACGCAATTTCGTAAGTTCTGACTTGTGGTGATTTAGTTGTAAAATATAAAAATTCTTGATCGTGTAACAAATTTTAGATTATACGAAGATGTCCCTACTGTTTTTGTTCCGATAATATGGTTCGACCAAAGGGCTACAATTCCGAAAAAACAACTGCCGATGTTTAAGCTGCTGCTAAATGTACCGACCATTATGACATCCATTGGAGGTGTATTGATGGTCACAGGTATCGTTTTACTGGTTGTGTTAAACTTTTACGTTATAAAGAAGAAAAAGAAGAAAACAACTATAAATCAACCAGAAGTATCTCCTTTAAACCCCCAAGAGAAATGTGGATTAGTCTCGAAGAAACAGCTGACATCGTGATATGTATTATAAATTATTGAACTTGTTAATTAGTAATATACTCAGTAAGTGAAAAAGTATTAGCCTAATGATAACCTGAAGTCGCCCACTAGCTCGTGTCCTAGAAGGGTTAAATCCCAGTTTAAATGACGCTTGAAATCCATCAACAGTCTTTATAATATAGCCTTGTTAATTTTTACGCTGCAAAGAACATAAAGAAGAAAACAAATATAAATCAACAGAAATACAATAAAAGACAATAAATGGCCAATGATTTTCGTGCTGTAGTGTGAAAAAAAACGAAGATCAAAATAAATTACCTAAAAATTGTTAATTAAATTTTTCTATGCATAGGCAACCAGTCATACAAACGTACATGTCGGAAGGCTATTTTTCGGCCTTGATGATTAGTTAGTCTCGATCACAGCATAGATATCAATCAGTAGAGACGGCTCGCCGTTTTTCGTGACCCGTTTTCGTGGGTGGTCGTTCGCATTATGACCGAATGAGGGCGCCCAACTGACGTCTAAAATATTTGAAATTTGGCAGTTTTGTTACAATATTTTTGCCAGTTTTGCTTGTTTAAGACTGCTTTTCCGGTAGAATTGTACAAATAGTATAAAAAATGTAATTTTCACAATAAAAGGTAAAATCTTTGTCCGATGAATTTTCATACAGGATCCCTGTTGTGCGCCTTATTCGTGCTTATTCTCTCCCTCGTGTTTGGAATTCTTGGAAAAGATAGTAAACATAATAACACACTTTTTGTTTAAAAAGTCGTCGCAAACGAACAACAACGGTGGTTATGAAATAATTTTTTTACATTTGTGAATTAGAGCAAATTTTTAGTGAAAATTTTGAAAATATAATTTTACAAACAACTACTTTGTTGAAATTATTAAATTTAGCTACATTTGTTCATCCATGCCAAAACTTTCCATACGATTATTTGCTTGCTTTGTATGCTAGGATGAGATTATTTTATGCACCAAAATTTGTAAATGCTAGCTTTAAATTTACAAATGCCAAAGGTGAAAAAATTAATAGAAAGAAAATAATTTGGCAGCATTAACTTTTTTCCTTTTTGTAATTTAATTTTTATTTTATTTATTTTTTCTTAAATAAACCTCTTTCTTTTTAGATGTATTTATTACATTATTTTTACATAGACAATTAAACCTCAAGTATTCGGGGAAAGAATGTGCGAATTGTCAAATTGTATAAGTAATAAAATAAAAACTTTAACAAATCATCGTGTTTATAAATTAAATATCGACTTTTCTTTTTTCTTATTGCGATTCACGATTATACGATTTGAGCAAACTACACAGTTTACAATAAATTGCGTACACGAATCAATTTTTGAAATTGTAAATGAAGTGATACTTTTTAAATTGAGTGACGACATCTAGGAATAGTTTAGGCAACGACCACCCATGACGGCTTAAAATTCGGGTCAGAAAGAACAAAGGCGCCGACACGAGCTGTCTCTACTGATTGTTATCTATACTGTGGTCTCGATTCTGAGACAGTCCATCAGACAGCATTGTTAAAAATAAAGACGTATTTTAATATTACTAGATCATTTATTTTTTCTAATTGAAATTATATATCAGGTTATTTAAAATATGCTTAAATAATATTAAATCATAATAAAAATAATACTTAAAATATCATCAAATCTCTAAAATTACATAATTTGAAAAGTCTACTATTATTGATTTTTATTAGTAAAAACTTCTAAATTATTTGAAAACCAAGTATGTCTGTTTTGAAGGAGTACTCCTACTCCAACTTAAGGCTGTACGTCCGCAGTATCAAGCCCAATACCAAGTATAGTGAACCAAGAGTTATAAGGTTATATGGCCATCATAAAAGTAGTTGACCGCAAATAAATACCCCTTTGTGTGGTTCGCACTAAGCTTACCGGTTGGCAATAAATCATCTTCTAAACATTTTTTGCTCATATTTAACAGGGCCGGCTTTCAAAGCGAGTGGTTATTTCGGAACCCTCAGCGGCTGCAGGCAGTAAAGAAATAGTGGAGTGGTGGATTTTCATATTTAGTGAAAGCCGCCCCTGAACGAAACCACAAGAGCCGGTCGAGCTGTAGTGGACACGTTATTTACGACCCTAAAACCTTTTCTATTGTAAACAACTTAACTTCGACACAATGGGATGATTTTATGATGGCCATATAACCTCGTAGCTCTTGGTTCACTATACATGCAAACTTTAATGACCTTGTATTCGTACAATATGTTTTTTTAACAGCCAGTGTATAAATGTATAGCAGAATAATTTTATTAAGACAATCAATGTATCAAGTCATTAGAAAAAAAAATTACAAAACTTTGATTACCTTTTTGGGCCGTATAAAACAGTACAAGAGTATAACCCTAATCAGTTGATATTTGTCCAAAGTTTTGTGATAATTGTAAAAACGAAATCAAAGAAATTTACAAAATAGGCAATCAACAAAACATCCAACCGGCCAGAAAAAGTGATTTATTACTCTAGAAAGTTTTGACCCACTCTTCACAGCGGGTGGTTAAGCGGATTAATGTGGTGAACTATAGAGTCCGCTCATAGTGCCCTCTAAACAACGAGATGGTGGGTGGGCGGGGCTAGTACCTGTTAGGATAAGAGTGATTTTGGCAAATGAGATCCCTCTAAGAAAATAGAGGGCGGGTGGGCGGGGTTAGTACCTGTTAAAATAAGTTCGATTTTGGCAAATGATATATTCTCTAAGAAAAGAGAGGGTGGGGGGGCGGGGCTAATTCCTGCTAACATAAGAGTGATTTTGGCAAATGAGATAAACAACTCAAAAACAGGTATTTGCTGTATTTATTAGTCGTAAGTTTCAGTTGGTCACTCTACCAAAATTGTTATCTGTTACTCTGTTGTTTCTATGCTAAGAACATTATTGTTGATGAATTATGATAGCAAATACAACTACTAAATAACCAACTTCCCATGACAGCCTCGATAAAAACCACAAGCAAAAACATCATTAAACGAGAAACCGAACAACGAAATAAAAAGAGAAACAAATACCACTGCTCAGAAAAACACCAACGATAAGGACCACCTGCCTTAAAAACAGCAAACAACAATAATAAACCTAAGTCAAATGGCTGGAACAAATCTAAGGTTGAGGAACCCTCTGGCGAAAAAAAGGATCAGCCTATTATTGATAACAAAATCAAAAATCGACAACTTAAATCAACAGTTATTGGATCCCTCCCTGGAACTACACGTCTGGAAGCTATCTCAAAAAAAGCTTACATTCACGTATACAGATTATCTCCTAAAACAACTAAAGAACAGCTTCAAGAACACCTGAAATCCCATCTTAACGAATCTGATATCGAAAAATTGAATTCAAAGTATTCGGGACTCTATTCCAGTTTCAAACTAACTTTGAACTTTGATGAGTTGGAAACCGTAATGAAATCTGAAATATGGCCTAAGGGAACACGAATTAACAGGTTTTTTCACCCACCCCGACAACAACAACTAAAGAGCCAAGAATCCTTGTGCTTAATTCGCAATCAATTAGATCAAAACTCCAAGAGTTTGAACTACTGTTAAAAGGTACGTGTCCACTTGAGAGGGCGGTAGCGAGAAATAATTCCAAAATTAGCCCGTAAAGCCATGGTCGGGCCTGCCCTCAACTGGGTAAGCATATCGTTTTTACCTTGTGAGAGTCGCTCACAAACTCGGAGAGAGTTTGTGAGCGACTCTCACAATACGAACGCATTTCGAAGTGCGACAGTGATCTTCGCTAAGTCTGTTTCACGTGTACTTTTTTCGTAATAACTGAATTCATTGCAATAATAGACCTTTGAAATTTGAAATGACAACTTAAGATCAAAGATGGTATAAAATCAAAATCAGAACTCTCGTGAGAGTTGCTCTCCAGTGGACACGTACCCTTACATCAGGGAAATTTCTCCTTGGCAAAACAACGCGGAATTGGACAATCTTTCTATCGAAAATGTGCAAGTAGCATCCAGTTTTTGCCGTAAGTTGACTAATCATGGAGGTTCCCTCTTATTCGCAGCACAAAATCTACAATACACTACTCTACATAATCTGGAAAACATGTCTATTGAAAATCATTGGGAAATCTCAGCATCACTAAGTAGTCAACTCTTGCAAACTTATTGTTATAAATATATATCAGCCGGCATCTGGTGATTTTACATACAAGTGCCGCCCGATTACTAAACTAGGCAAGTCCAAATTATACAACAATATAAGTAAAACTGACTAGTACTTCGTTTACGATAAAACCCTTGATGTCAATACTAAATTTATGAAGGAAATTATCGACAACATAAATCTTGCCTTCCCAGAAAAAACCTTGAAACAAACCAATAATAGCAAAATGGACATTAAGTGGTTTGATGACGAATTGCGAAATATACGCAAAGAATTATTATCATTCCTTGACGAGTTTTATAAAATTCTTCAAACGGACGTGACTAGAAAGGCAAGAAATAACTGTCGCCACCTTTACCAAGAAACAATTAAAATAAAAAAAGTGAACTATACCAAGAGTTTTAAAGATAAATCAAACAACAAAAGTAAAGCAATCTGGCAAGTAATAAATAACAGCCGAAATAAAAATTCATTGATAGGTAGTGCGGCAAACGGTGAAATTTCGAATGACGATTTCAACAAGTTCTTTACTAAAACCGGGCCAAATTTAATAAAAACACGTCCTACTCAAGATCCCATTGACTTAATTATTAAGAACTGCAACAATATTTTAATTTCTCAGAAGTCTCTAGTGTTCGAGACACTATCAACAAGATAAAGAATAGCAATTCAAAAAATTGCTATAACATAAGCGTTCATATTATTAAAACTATCAAAGACACCATCATTTCATCAATAACTAGACTAATAAATGAATGCATAAGGACCACAACATTCCCAGACTGTCTCAAAATTGCTGCAGTGATACCAGTGCATAAAAAAGCATAAATAGTCAGTACGGCTTCCGAAAAGGTCAATATACAACCAAAGCCACTCTTGATCTCACAAATTTTATTGGAGATTACCTAGAGCGCGGCAGATATAACATCGGTTGCGTCTTAGACTTGTCAAAAGCCTTCGATTGCGTCTCCCACTCAGAATTAATAAAAAAGTTGTACTGCTACAATTTACATCCTCTCGCTTGCAGCATAATAACATCCTACTTGGTAAATACGCTTCAGTCAGTAAGACATAATAACCTTGAATCGGAAAAGCTACCAGTGGTACTAGGAGTGCCCCACGGGTCAGTCCTGGGACCATTATTATTTCTCATTTACATTAACGATTTTCCCTTCTTTCTAAACACAAACACGAACTTATTAACTAATGAAACTACATTCCCTAAATCGTAATGAGGAAACAGAATTGAAGGCAAAGTTAAAGTCGCATTCACTCGAAAGAGCATAGATCCACTACCCACAGACATTGTATTTTGACGAGTGTAAAATGTGTGTACATTTAAGCACAATCAATTGATTGATTGACCATCTCTTTCCTTAGAGGGCACTATCAGCCGACTCTATAGTCCACCGCATTAATCCGCTTAACCAATGCAATGACCAATGTAAAAATACTTTTGAAACCAAAACGTGTTTCATTAATTGTGTCAACATCAACAAAAGTGCATGAACAAGTTTTATGCCTGATATTCTTTAAACTGTTCAAAAAATGACCCATGTCAACAATTCGACGACCACTGACCACCAATTTTTCGTTGTCATCCTTTGCTCTAGAAGACATTAGATTATCACCAAGAGCAAGATCAACATTACCATTGTCAAAGTTACAATTTTTTGCTTTTTCCAAAATTTTCGGATCGTTTCCGACTTTTACGTTTTTGCGTAAGTGATGGTTCAGAGAAAGAAAATTTTGGATCAAATCGAGTCTAAACCAGAGCAAAAAGCACTACATGAAAGAAATTGTGTAAAAAGAAAAACTTTTGATCGCGGCACAAAAAACTCTCTCAAAATGATCACCAGTGAACTTTCGCAGAGGACATAAAGTACCAAATTTTGGTTTTCTAACTTTATAATAGTCAACCCCTTTTTCATATTTTCTGGAATAAGTAATCTCCGAAACTACTGGACCGATTATTGCTATATTTGGCTAATCATCCCCACCACCAATGGAATGACATCATCTCCAAAATTTATAATAAAAAATTTTCTTAAATTTTATAAATTAAGATACTCCTGCACTTGTGGTTGTATGAATCAGTGTAGAATTTTCACCCTAGACATCCAGGATTTTTGAAAAAAATTTCTCAAAAAAAATTCGAAAAAGCTGGATTTGTTTTATTAAATATATTCAGGGGCGAGAGAACTTCTGTCGAAATAACCTTCTACCTACTAGGTACCTACCTAAATATGTAAGATTTTGGGTTGGAAAAACCCAAGATTACCAAGAGATATGAGATACTCACAATAAGGCACCTACAATAAAATATTCTTGCAATTTTTTTTATGGAACACCCAGATTTTTTTGACATTTTTTGATGCAGAATAAAAACGAATTTCAGAAATTGTCAACACGTTTATTTCTACTGATACAAAAAATAGAAAAAAAAAACCTAATACTGTAAACTCACGTCATCGCCATCTTTGAAAATAGTAATAAATAATAAACTATAAGTCGCACTGCAATAAATGTTCAAATTGTTCTCCGCTTACAACTTGGCAGTGATGTAATCGATCAACAAAATGTCTCAATGAATTATGTATGATTTTAAAATGGTATGTGTTTTCTTGTGATTTTTTTTTTCAATTTTTTTGTAACAGTAGAAATAAACATGTTGATAATTTCTGAAATTAGTTTTTTATTCTGCTTCAGAAAATATCAAAAAATCTGGTTGTTCCATTAAAAAAAAGTAGGCGACCCTGTCTGTCGTCGAACCCAAAGCGATAGAAAAAGGAAAAAAGTTGTAATCAAGTCGCCATGTTTAACTACATATCCACAGCAAATTTCAGAAAAAAAAAAACTAAAAAAAAAGTTACCATTCCGGGACTTATATGTAATAACCCTGCAGACTAATCGACGTGTTTTTGCGTTTTTATAGTTTCCCCAGTTCTAATTCGGTTTTATGATAGTACCCCATTTTGCAAAAGTTAACTTCCAATAGATTACTACTGCTGGTGATGGACATGTACTGTATAATGGTCACGGCATAGTTAAATCCTTATTTATGACTTATTTATATCACCGGCAGTAGTAATCTATTGTTAAGGAACTCGAATTAGAATTGGGGAAACTATTGTTTGTTTTCTTTCAGATAAATATTTTACTTGCCCAGCTGACAATGGCTGTAATAAAACTATTGTCAACGAAGCGAACGATTTTAACCCTAAGTTTTTTAGCGTTTTATGTGAGACACTCTTATCTAATTAACCAAATTTTAGCAAAAGTACGTTTCAAGAACATAAATTAAGCAAAGACAACCTAGAAAATAAAAGTTATTTGGCAAATTATAAAGTTAAGTCAAAATAAGTCAAAACGAATTAAAGCCATGTTTTGTTTTTGCTTTTCAGCTGTCTGTCATTAACTATTTTAAGTTAACGCACATTTTTACGTACCTAACTTCAATTTTATAAATAATGAGATTACATAACTCTGACGCTTATTTTTTCCAAAAAGTGAAGGGTAATATAATGGTAATTTATTATTAGAATTTGGAAGTTTTTTTAGTCATTTGCAACACAAATAACTCTTCAGTCAGACGAAATTCATTTCCTTTGGAAATTATTGCATTGTAATGTATTATGTTTCAATTAGCAAAAACCAGCCTTGAATAAAACGAAGCTAATTTTTCAGCTGAACTTATTAAATATGCACTGCCAAATTTACAACTTATTTTACCATATGTTGTATAACAACGAATTTGGGTTTTTTACTACGCAACCCGACGTCAATTTTAAGGATGCAATATTCACAATATAATAATGTTTTTTCAAGAACCATTAAACAGTGGCAATCTTATGTAAACATTTAGAAAGAGTCGTCGTTTCCGAAAAAGTGCTATGATCGAATTCATTTTCATAAGTGTTTTTGACACCCTGTATATAGAGAACATAACTCCAATTATTAGACAATAACGCTCATGATGCATACGCAATTCTACAATTATTTTATCAATTTTGCCACCTACAAGGTCATTGTTAACAACTATAGCGACAAATTTCTGGTTTGATACATTAAGACAACAAAATACGGTTTACCTTGCACGCGTTTAATAGTCAGTGATACTAAGTTAATATTACTTAAGTAATAATGGGTACTCCAGTACATCAAGCTCTATTAAAACCCAGCTTTAAAATCGTACAATACACAAAAACCAAAACAATATTTTTAACACAAGGTGTGGCGTTTGTAATGCATGAAAAAATGATCCACTTGTCTAAATTAAAAAAAAAATATGAACCATCACACCAAGGTAACAATAGCTGATTGTGATAAATATAATGACTAATTTATGACACTCAACCTTTGTTAGGCAGTTTATTTTAGCCTACCGACGAATACTGTCGGCTTTAGCGTTTTTTGTCGGAGCGCTCCTATTTATAATTTCCAAATGCATCGTTCAACGTTCACCGGTTATATATAAAAAAGATTACAGTGCTACCAATTGCGTAACATGCAATACAATTCAAAACATGCGACTTGCCGGGTTTTATCTCATTCACCTGCGAAAATAAACCACAGAAGTACCTAACACGCCGGTTCGCGATGTGGAAGAAACCTTGGCCAATCATAGTATCATCGATTCTGTGTTTTGCGGGACTTGTTATAGTTTTTGTGACACCAATTGTTTTAAAATCTTTAGTTTTTTACAATTCTATTTTAAGACCGGAGTCGCGAGTTTACAATTTATGGAAACATTTCCCGGTTCGAGTGTCTGTAGATTTTTATTTTTTTAATTGGACGAACCCAGAAGACATCTATAGTAAGGGGGTCAAGCCGAGGTTTGCAGAAGTGGGACCTTATACGTACATGGTGGATCTGGGAAAGACTGATATCGTGTGGAATGACAACAACACAGTGACTTTTAGACCCATAAAGTATTATTATTACAGTGAAGACAAAAGTAATGGAGATTTGCAAGACAGAATTACATGCCCGAACCCAGTGTCTATTGTGAGTAACTCTATGTTTTAGCGAATGGTTTTGTTAAATTTAGATCTAAAGTTCGATGTCATGCTGCTAGTTTCATTTTCCTTACTTTGGGTGAAGAAACATGCAGGGTTAAACAAATAAATTAAAATTTTCCGTAAAATCATACTACTACTACAAAAAACTGAATATTTGAAATGTCCTTTCGCAACAAAAAAATCTGGTTTCTAAAAAAATCTGGTTTTTAGAGATATGCGACAAAAAAAGAAGGTTGGGAGCTGGTTTTGATTTTAACGTTATTTATAAAATACTAGGATTAATAAAGAATCTGCGCCTTGCAAATGCTTCTATAATTAATACTCTAATTTTCGTAGCAATTAATAATTTTAATTCTATCTGAACGAAAAGCGAATTATCAAGTATGTTTCATCCTACTTCTGTAAAAGATACAAGTGTTTCAAAATTATCGAAATTTTATAACGGTTGTCCCATTTTCAAAGTTTGCTCAGTTGTCTGTATTAAGTAATTACAAGTCGTAAAACAAAACAAAAAATTACACAAGAATATGAACAACAATGAGTAGCACGTACTGGTCTCATAGTCATAATGCTCCCTTTGACGTTTTCAAGCATAACACCACAAAATTCTTAGATAAATCAATTTATTTGTTCAACTGTAACTTTTAAACTAGAAATAAAAATGAGAAATTTGATAGAGTTACTGTTGATGTTGAAAAACACTTCGAATAATTGTCCTCTACTTTGAACTTTTTTTTTAATATCCCGCAAATTTCTACCAGTTTTACAGTTTACACGTGTTTGCATAATAATTATTTTGTTACTGTTTGAAGGTAATCAATCTCAAATAGAGTAATTTCAAAGATGACTTGCACTAGGCTAAAATGCGTCATAATCGTGTATCTTTAACTTTTAAACATACACAAAGTTCAGGTATTTAATATCTGTTGTATGATTCACCACTTCGTGTTTGTACATATAGCTGCAAAACCGCTATTTGGCCTATTTTTGTTTTCACTTAAAAAAGTGAAGGAAGTAAAAACTTCCCGAGCGTAAGCTAAGGAAGTATTGTAATCGAGTCCGCCGACTGACTCTCTACTTTTACGTTTTCTCGACCTATCATGACCCCTAGAGTACGAAAAGATAGGTCTCCTGTTTCCGTCTGTCTGCCGATAATCTCAACAAGTAATGAGCCGATTGTTAGAGTTTGTACCCGAAACGTCCAAATTTTTGGAAAAAAGTCAAAATTATAAAACATTTTGCAATTTAATTTTGAATCTGCCAAAGTGAATGCTTTGAAATCTTTTAGATGTTTTAAATTTATGGTAAGCATAATAATTTTTTAATCAAAATATATTCGCTTATCCCCTCCAAGAAACTGATCAACTCAAAATTTTGCCGGATAAATACTATCTAAAACATGCAAAATATGATCAGTCTATACTCGTGATTTATCACTGCATTCATAATTTTTAGATTTGCTTAAACAGAGTGACTCAAAAACATCCAATCAGATTTCGGAATTTAACTCGTTACTATGGAAATTTGCAATTTAACACCTTTTAAATTCAACAAAGTTTTCACAAGTTTAATAGGGGCAAAATCAGTCTTATCTTAGCAAGTACTAGCCCCGCCCACCCGCCCGTATTTTCTCAGAGGATATGTCATTTGCCAAAATAAGACTTATCTTACCAAGTACTAGGAAGTACTACCCCCTTTGAAAATAAAGGGCGGGTGGGCGCTCCTAGTACTTGCTAACATAAGTCTTATTTTGGCAAATAACATATCCCCTAAGAAAATAGGAGGCGGGTGGGCGGGGCTAGTACGTGGTAGGATAAGACTGATTTCGGCAAATGGCAAATCTTCTGAGAAAATAGAGGGCGGGTTGGCGACCCTAGTACTTGTTAAGATAAAACTGATTTTGTTCCTATTAACCTTGTAAAAACCTGCGAAATTTAAAGGTGTTTAAAACTTGCAAATTTCGATAGTAACAAGTTAAACTCTTAAATCTGCCCGAAATGTGCAAAATATCATGAGATTTTACTTGTGAGTCATCATTGTATTCATATTTTTTAGATTTGCTTATACAGGTGACTCAAAAAAAATAATGAATGTATCAATTTATTTTATTGGTTAAATCAGGAAAACATAATTAGCCCCGCCCACCCACCCTACCTTCATTTCACTGATTAATTTTATCTGCATTGAATGAAATTAATGATCTTATACAAAATATAAATAAAATTAATCGTTAGAAGGAGAAGAGTGGGGGTGGGCGGGCTAGAACTTGGTAAGATAAAACTGATTTTGGTAAATGACATACTTTCCGAGAAAATAGAGGGCGGGTGGGCGGGGTTTGTATTTGCTTAAGACAAGACTGTTTTGGCTAACCACATATCTTCCAAGAAAATAGGGGCGAGTGGGCGGGGCTAGTATTTCGTAAAACAAAGTTGATTTTGGCACTTTTGACATTTTCGACTATTTTTCAACCATTTTCCAAAATTTCTACCTTTCTTCCAAAATCGCCATTTGAAATATAGCAATTTTGACAATTCCAGTTGCAAATAGTATAACAAAAAATTTACGATTAGTGTTTTTTTTTTACTCTTTTCACATCCTAGTTTCTATTAGTTTTCACTACCACTTGATTGGAAAACATAATTAGCCCCGCCCACCCACCTTAGCTTCATTTCACTGATTAATTTTATCTGCATTGAATGAAATTAATGATCTTATACAAAATATAAATAAAATTAATCGTTAGAAGGAGAAGAGTGGGGGTGGGCGGGCTAGAACTTGGTAAGATAAAACTGATTTTGGTAAATGACATACTTTCCGAGAAAATAGAGGGCGGGTGGGCGGGGTTTGTATTTGCTTAAGACAAGACTGTTTTGGCTAACCACATATCTTCCAAGAAAATAGGGGCGAGTGGGCGGGGCTAGTATTTCGTAAAACAAAGTTAATTTTGGCACTTTTGACATTTTCGACTATTTTTCAACCATTTTCCAAAATTTTTACCTTTCTTCCAAAATCGCCATTTGAAATATAGCAATTTTGACAATTCCAGTTGCAAATAGTATAACAAAAAATTTACGATTAGTGTTTTTTTTTTACTCTTTTCACATCCTAGTTTCTATTAGTTTTCACTACCACTTGATTGGAAAACATAATTAGCCCCGCCCACCCACCCTAGCTTCATTTCACTGATTAATTTTATCTGCATTGAATGAAATTAATGATCTTATACTAAACACAAATAAAATTAATCGTTAGAACGAGAAGAGTGGGGGTGGGCGGGCTAGAACTTGCAAAGATAAAACTGATTTTGGCAAATGACATACTTTCCGAAAAAATAGAGGGCGGGTGGGCGGGGTTTGTATTTGCTTAGGACAAGACTGTTTTTGGCTAATCACATATCTTCCAAGAAAATAGGGGCGGGTGGGCGGGGCTAGTATTTCGTAAGATAAAGCTGATTTTGGCACTTTTGACATTTTCGACTATTTTTCAACCATTTTCTAAAATTTCTACCTTTCTTCCAAAATCGTCATTTGAAATATAGCAATTTTTACAGTTCCAGTTGCAAATAGTATAAAAAAAAAATTACGATTAGTGCTTTTTTTACCTTTTTGACACATCCTAGATTCTATTAGTTTTCACCACCACTTTCCTAGAAAATTTTGGAAATAGAACATTGATATTTTTCAATTTCCATTATATACTAAATAAAACAAGACTAGTTTCAGGAGCAAGCAGTAGCCCCGCCCACCCACCCCTTCTTCTTTCCAGTGACTACTTTTAATTTTGTTCACCCACCCTCCTTTTTTTAGAGGATGTCATTTACCAAAATCAATCATATCTTAACAAGTACTAGCCCCGCCCACCCATATATGTGATTTACCAAAATCAATCTTATCTTGTCAGATACTAGCTCCGCCCGCACACACTGTTCTCATTCTAACGATTTTATCTCTCTTCAATTGAGATCGACCTTTCATTGGGACTAGACAAAATGAACCACTGAAATGGAGGCGGAGTGGGTGGGCGGGGTCAATTATATGTTCTTTTGTAGAGCGAGAATGCGAACTAATAGAACGTAAGCTGTTAAAAAAAGGGTTAATCCTAATTTTTTTGTTATACTACTTATTTGCTATAATATTTATTTTTTATTTCTGCAGAACAAAAAGAGAGAACGGGTGGGTGGGCGGGGCCAACTTTAAGCTTCAATCTTATTGCTTTTGTAATAAATGGAATATTGTAAACAACAGTAGTACTTTTCGTATGTGTGATTTTTTTAAATTTTACTTTCCTTCTATTCAAATACTATCAGCAACAATAGTAAATTCGAAGTTATTACAAAGTAATTAATTTTTTAGCAAACAAGTGTACTTTTACTGACGCAAGAACTAAAAAAAAAGTTTGGCAGCAAGGTTAAAACAAATTACTCTACAAAAACAAAATAATCAAAATAGTGCGTCCATACAAATTACTTAATCAATTTACCGGAAAATAATTAGTGTCATTCACATTAATAAATCACCGGTACTTGAATTTATAAAAATAAGACATAAATAGAGCGTACAAAAAACCCCAAACTTGTGTCAATAATTAACAAGCAAAATAACAAGTTAATTGAGGATTGGAAAAAACTAAAACGAAGAAATATTAAAACCCGTTTTCGTGGTGTCGCAATCGACAATGACGTCATGCGCTTCCATCTCTGAACTACAGCCCTAGGACATATAGAATACACAAAGCATAAACTATCCAAAAACAATGCCTTCTGGTCTAGTTTGACAAATATATTGATATTTTTATTGTTGCAGGCAGCTGCCCATGTTTCCCGAAATTGGAACTACGTGGTACGTAGAGGCCTCTCCTTAACCCTATCTGGAATAGCACCCACGGTTAACATATCCCGTACCATCGATGAGCTTCTATTCACAGGATATCCAGACACTCTCACTAAAATGGCCAAAACATTCCCCTTCTTCGCTGGTACTGAAATTCCACCTTGGGAACGATTCGGGTGGTTCTATAAAGTAAGTAAATCCGCGAAACACTGGTCACTTGTTCTAAATTTGTCTTTGTAGCGAAATGGTACTAGTGATTTGGAAGGCATTTACAATACTGGGACCGGGATAAATTCCATTTTTGCAAAAATCTACAAGTGGAACTATTGGAGCAAAAGCCCGTACTACGAAGGTACTTGTGCTGATATTGATGGTAGTACGGGTGAGAAGTTTGATCAAGATTCGCTTGGTGATAGAATTAAGATCTTTTCCATGGAATTGTGTCGGGCGGTGGTTCTTCAATATGTCGGTGACGTAGACGTGGATGGAATAAGTGGAAGAAAGTACCAACTGGATGACTACATGCTAGATAATGGTAGGAACACCATTTGAAAACAATAAATCGTGACCAAGTATTGTAGGTACCAAGTATCCAGAAACTAAATGTTCCTGCAGTGGCGACTGCCTCCCTTATGGTGTGTTTAACATTTCGAGGTGTCGATACGGCTCTCCTGCTTTTGGGTCTTTACCACACTTCCATAAAGCCGAACCTTACTTTAACAGTTTAGTAGAGGGTTTACACCCGGAAAAGGAGAAACACGATTTTTATATAGTCGTTGAACCTGTAAGTTTATTTTTTTGGGGAGTTTACAGTTTTCAGGATTATTAATTACAGTATACCGGATTTACACTACAAGCTCGAGCAAGGTTACAAATAAATTTACTACTACATTCCATTCCTGGCGTAACGTAAATAACAAACCCTTGTGACATCCAGTGAGCTTCATATTTTAATTTTTAGAATATACGAAAACGTGCCTACAGCGTTCCTTCCAATCATGTGGTTCGATCACAGAATTGACGTTCCAGACAGTGAGCTTTTTATGCTAAAGCAAATATTGAACGTTCGTTGGATTAGTACCACAATTGGAGTTGTGATGATGGTCGCAGGGTTACTCTTAGTCCTGTATTTTATAATGAAACAAAGACGAAGAAATGTACGAATGAAAGAAACTTTGCAAAACAAAGTTGTGTTAAAACGACCGGAAGAAAAAAAGCTGCTGAGCGAGAAATAAAAAAATGTTTTGATTGTTATTTATGTTTTATTCTTAATCCGGCCCAAATTGATTATAACAAGGTTAAAACAAGAACATTAATGAATTGACGTAAAAAGTTTAAATTATATCATTTAATAATCTAACTAATGTAAAAAAGACAAGTTTCGCAGTCAACAGGATGTAAATTTTAATATTGTCCGGGCAGCATTCTTTAGTTACGCGAAAAACCAACTGAATGGAGATGTTTGCAAAAAACTCCCGCTGAACCACAAATACGAAAAATCCATGAACCATGGGTTGTTGACTCTGCACTAACTCCACGTTATCGAAACTCAAAGGTTATCGAATGTGCCAAGCAAACTTCGGTTTCGTGCATTAAGCAAATGTTCGGGAATGACAGTGTCACACAAACTTTTACTGTCTACGTATTTCAAAACTGCTACGCAAGAAGTTCTGTCTCCATAACCTGATCAATACTGTAAACATAGAAATCTTCGAGTAATACGATTTTGCTAGAACAAATTCCGCGGCGCTTCTACAAATAGCAATTTCCAGCACGATAATTGCACACAGAAGTTGAAGAATGTCGATATTCTCATGAAAATTGTACACGCAATTCATTGTGGAATAAACCCGATTCTTTGCGACGAATTCATCGGAATTATATTTTGAGTTATCGACCTGCGACACGTTAGGTCAACGGCCAACAGCGCCCGAGTGAATAAGGTTTTAATATTTAATTTAATTAATTTCTACAAACATGACCATACGATGATTAAAAATATTGAATATTTGAGGCAAAAACGAATTCTTGTGTGTATAAAGCTCGCATAACCCCTCTGCTGTCCATTACAACCTAATAAAATTTCCTGGGCTGATATGAACATCAAGCTGGAAGGAATTTCATTACGTATATGAGCAATCAAACGAAGCGCAAAATAGAATTATCAATATTTCAATTTAGAAAAATAAAGCAGTTAAAACGTGTTTTCAACTGATAGGAGTTTAATTTTGGCCCGGAGCTTCCGCTTTGGATTACGTTAAATTTCTTGATGTAAGAATTTCAACTTTTATTCCATTATGTTATTATTAACAACAGGATTTATTATAGTTAGGTCATTTTCAGTTCATCGATCGTTTATCGTTATCAAAATTTGTCAATCAGTCCCCATCAAAAAATTGATAATGTGATCTCTACACCTGTGTAATCCATTTCAGTTTTCACTTTATTCTGCTGAAGTTACCCCAGATAAATATTAATTCAGAATTCACTTTTACCAATCTTAGGTAAGAAACTACAAAACAAACACTGTTAAACATTTTTGACAAAATTGATCCATTTCCTAGTTAGTTCACAAAAGTTAATTTACAAAATGTCTGTAGTTATCCCCTCCAAAATATTGATGACGTCATTCTACAAAATTATTAAATAAAGATTTGTTAAACAATGCTACCAGTTTTGTTGTTTAGAGAGATGTGTTAAAAAAATTAATGTACACAAATTTGTTTAATAACCTCATGTTTATGAAACTGTTTATAAATGCTAAACGCTTAAATCACTGGGCTTTACCGTTTGTCTAAAAATAATTTCGGTTTAATTAATAATGCATCAACACGTTTAGCATTAACCACATTCAAACCCATGAATCAGTAATAAAAAACCATTTCTCAGCACGCGCCGATCTGTTGCCGATTACCATTAGCTCCGGAGGTTATCAAGCATGGCAAGTAAACTGAACTTTGGTTTTGTGTTCAAGGAAACGTTCGTAAATGACAATGTTTTGCTTAGCCACCAACACCGGAAACTCCCATACAATAAAATAGGTATTAACACCTCTGTAAATAAAGCAACGTCAATACAAAAACCAGTAGTGACACGATTTCTGGAATCGCAGAAACCTTAATAAACAATGACACAAAAAACTTGACACAATCAATTCATTACGAAATTGATATTCAAGAATTAACATCAATAAGAAGGCTATTTTTGGGTCAGGAATGATACGGTTGACGTAACTTCATTTACTCAATTATATTTTCTTTCAAAATTGAAAATTATCAGTTTCGTATCTCCGCACTAACAAAAAAGTGGCAATAACTGCGAATCTGTCTAGCAATTTGCGTCCTCATAAGCGCGAGATCTCAATTATGCAGTAATTTTCGATCTCCTAAACTCATCAAACGCTGTACATCGCAGGGTTTAACATTTTCTTTTCTTTGCGAAATGCAAACTCTCCTCAAACTTCATTTACATCCTGTTTGCACTAAAATTCGATTTTGCTTTCAATTTGATTTATGACCGAGTTTCAGCGTACTTTTCTCATAGCGGGTGTTCGATTTTAAAATCATTAATCATACTCGAAAGATGCGGTTTAATGGTAAAGTACGATCTGCATGTGTACGCATTTAGTTTTAATGAATATGTAAGCATTTTTTCTTGCTGTGTTATCATGGTGATAACTTTTCGCTCGAGAATCACAAAATGTACACCAATTATATTTTTCATTATTTAATCGTATTTAATAAACTTGATTTTTTTCATTATCTGGTTTATGTTTCAATTTTTTTTAATTGCGTATGTTTACTTCGTGATTTATTATCTGTCAAATATTTCCATATTACCAAACATAATTTTGCGAATTGTGCAAACATGATCATTGTCAATCACAGTTTTTAGGAATGTTCAACTGATAATAGGATGAGAAAATAAACATGGTCAGAGTAATCACCGCGTCATTTTATACACTACATTTTTTTTTACAGAAAATTGTAGGTGCAAAAGTGCAGTGTAAATTAAACTGAAGCATGCACTTATAATACAATTAATGACAAAAATGTGACGCACGACTTTAAAATCATCAAGCTGAAAAAAACGAAGGTTGACTATTACGATTTTATTTGTTTAAAAATTTAAAAAGATATCTATCGTCATACCAAGCTTTGAATTTTGCTTCGTTTAGACGTTTCCTGTTTAAAAAAATGAAAATATTATGTTTCTGATTTATAGCGCAGATGGTGCAAAGCTTCTATCATTTTATCAAATTAGCAGCCAGACATAAAAAAGGACTAAAACGAACGTGGCACATAAAAGTAAAATATTATTTCGACATTTCTTTTTATATCTTCCACATTACACATTACGACACATTTTTATCTAAAACGTTATATGTTTGCGAAGCCATTTATTAGTATCAGGGGCCGATAAACTTTCGTAAATATTTACAAAATTAGCCACTACCTGTTTCTTAATCTAGAGGTCTATACTGATTTTGGCTTAATGTACACATTGTGATTCCTCTCTTGCCATCCCGTCGTCCGTATTATTCTCGAGTATCCAAACATTCAATTAAGATGTTAGACACTTTATGAGCACATTATGCTGCTTACATTACGGCCCAGTCACAAGAAAGGTCATCCCGATAAATGATAACACTCTTCAAGTCTATTCGTCCAATAGATAAATCTCTTATTCAAACATAATCGTTTGAAATATTCTCCTATTAGTGCTACTTCCTGTGTGCAGACCTTTTGTGCTCCTTAATGAAAGCAACGAGTCCGGCCCATGACATACCACACGAACAACAATGCTGTGATATACAAGTAAGTACACATTAGGTATGTGCATTTATGAATTATTTAGAGCTAAAAATGGCACTTTAGGGTCAAAACACAAACGGTTAGTGTAACGTGTAAACGCGAACGTCGTTTTGATTTATCTATCCGAAAAAGCACAAATCACACGTGTGCCTTATCATTTATGGCATGGAAGCGTCAATACCAAAATAAAAACAAAATATCAGTGATATCAAAAAAATGTTATGACTTTAGGAAAAAATTGAGCAACGAGGTGAACATGACGATGCCAAAAGTGATGACTTTCAACCCAAAGTTGTAAGTAATGGAAATACAGGTGTCCCATAATGTCTTTAAGTTAAACGATATCCATTTTATCTAATTTCACCCATATGTTTTTTCATGTCTAACACGACACTTGATTAAGAGACACTTGTATTTCATTTCGACGACAGAGGACGATCAATGCTGATAAAAATTCTCCGTGTTTATGCATTATCAATAATAGGTCATAAGGTCGCTATATTGGAGCGTTAGCGTCTCGATAAATTGTACTAAAGAGGTCGTGCTTTGGACCGGTTCCACAAAATTGCAAAACCGTATCACATACTGTGTTTAAAATAATTTCTTTCGCAGGAATGAAAAGATGAAGAGAAGATGTCGATCTTGTTGCAACGTCTGCCTCCTTCTCGTAGGACTAGCACTAATCTGTTTAGGAATTTCAATTTTTGTGTATTTCGAAGCTCTCTATGACTACCTGATAACCACCTCGATGTCGTTCACTCCAAAAACTGAGCCGTATAGAGTATGGAGGATAAATGAGCCGCCCTTGGATTTGGATATATATCTTTTTAATTGGACGAACCCTCAGGACTTGTTCACGGAAGGAGTGAAACCCAAATTCGAAGAAATAGGACCCTATAAGTTTAAAGAAGTGAAGGAAAAAGTGAATATCACGTGGCATGATCATAATCACACGATCAGTTATAGACATAGAAAGGCCTATTATTTTGATGGGGAACGCAGTGCGAGGAATCTGACTGACGTCATTACTACTATCAACATAGTGCCCTTGGTGAGTTTTTTCTTTCTATATTATACCGGCTTTTTGAAAAACTTTACTAACACAATGCTTAACATTTAAAAAAATATGGTAAACACTATAGCTGCCGTGACGTAAACTACTTAAAAGTATAAACATGTATCAAAAATACTTTAGTAGGTGTGCTAATTTTAAAATATTAAGTACTATTATATAACAAAAATCATTCACTATTTTTTACCTTGAAAGTTGTTTTTTTCCAAACATACTTATAATCATCTTCACTTCAATAGGTTATTATTAAAAATAAAATAAACAAAGTAACACCTTGTGGTAGATAGGGAAGTCATAATTTAACATTATAACTACGATTTACATCTCGAATTGCAGCTCTACTAGATTTACACTAACGAGAATTTATGTCTGAATTAGCAAATGGAGTGTCCTAATTACATCAAGCAAAATTTAATTATCAGGTGTCATTGCCGCAGAAATGTCAATAAAACACGAATTTCTTCTTTTAACTGATAGTAAATTTACTTTCTTCTACGTTTAAAAACCAATAATATAATGACAAAAGTTAAAAAAAATGAGGAGTACCAACAAACCAAATTTTGTAATTTTACGTTATATAATTAAAACAGCAAATAAAAAAATTGTTAAAACAAGTTTGGCAGCTACAAAAACATCTATAAATATATATAGATCTCCTGCCTTTCATAACTGCGTCAATTTTTTTTTTATTCTCAATGCTTAAAATATATACTTTTTTTTAATCGTCAATCTTTACACAGTTGCACAATCTGAACCGATCATCAGATAAATTTATCTCCAACTCGTACGACTGTGACATAATCCGTAAACACAAGATTAGCCCCCTAATCAACAAAAACAGCCAGATTTCAACTAAATCGTGCTCCAGATTACAAAAAATCCTTCCTTCAAGTCTAAATTAAATGTGGGCGTCTAATTGCATGCGCACTAATCTAGGCCAACGAAGAAGCGCAGACGACTTTATCAGCACTCCTTAACACAGCTTTATTAATTTTAATTTTTAATAATTTAATCAAAAAACAGACAAGCTTAACCCACTTCGAGCATCATCTTCGCGATTACAACTTTCTTCATATCTCCCGAGCGTAATTTATTAATGTCAACGTGTTTCGTCCACCTTAATAATTATCATCGAGGATGAAACTTTGACAAGTTGTGAAAGTTTTAACGCGTCTCGGGATCGATGCGCGATAAAAAATAATAAATTAAGGAGTAAAAAATGCACCATCAAGTTTAGCGTTTCCGAATGGGATAAAAGCGGAAAATTACGGTCTCCGGGAGTTGGAGAGATCATGTGATTCCCTTGAAAGCCAAACCTCCAACAGGAAAAGCAATTTGCAATTGGGGGAGTTCGGGAAATTATTTGCCGTCATTTCGAGTTTCGGTGTTATCCATTTTTTTTTGGACTAATTGTAACTGCTGATTGTTTAGAGTTGATTAAATCTGGCTGGTCGTTTTTGCGTTTAATGCATTAGTCCGGTTCGGATTAGAGATTAGAGACTTATCTAGGAATGTAGAATAAAGTGATAACGAAGTTATTAAAATAAACGCTCGGGTCCATTTAAATTTCACTCAAGATTGATCCACTTTCTCGAGAGATTCATCGTTATCTAGATGTTTCTCGATTCTTCATCATTTCTAGCAATTTGTAAGGACAAGGTTTGGCCTAATTACGTTAAAATCGATTGGGACTGATGGTTTGCCTCAATTTAGCACTGGCTGCACAAGATAAATTTTGTCTTTCTGGAGTGTCGGATAATAAAATAATAGATGAAGTTAATTACTTTCAAAATGTTTATTCTCTGTCAGATTAAAGCGTCGTTGTTGAAAACACTGCCAACAATCCAATTAAGGGACTATGGACAGATGATTAATAATTATTACAATGAGTTAGATCCAGAAACATCTGAAGATAAAAAACGACCACATCCGGGATTATTCACAGTATTTTGTCTAAGATTGAAAATATAATATACTTAGTCACTCATCAACTACCTAATTTTTCTCACTCTAGAGTTCACCTAATAGAAACCTAGTTCGTTAGCAAAATTTTATCAAAGTAATTAACAACACATGGTTTGACAAGCAGAAACGATTTCTACCTAGGGAGCCGTAACTTAGATCCTATGCACAACACATGCCCTCCGAGACTCTAAACTAATTTACTTGAAGCTAAAGCTTCTCTTTTATTTCCTCCACCTTCCAGCGAGTCATTTTTCCCTTTATCTTGAAGACGATCGCATACGAAATTCGCCATTTCGAGTAATTTACTAAACGAAAATATTCATATTTCTTATCTTATCAAATTTATACATAACCAAACCGCCGGCGAGATTCTCCTTACAAAGAATTAATACGTAAATACGTAAAATTTTAAAAAGTCAAGGATAGAGGAGCCGTCATAAATGGAAAAAAATCTTGAAGATAGCCTAACACACCTGGAGAAAAGTTGTCTATAATGTTCAATTTTAAATTAGTGGATTAATCAGTTATGAGATTTAAAAGATAAGTTTCCAAAGATTTTGTTTATCAGTGTAATCTTAGCGATTTTTTAATTTCCAAATGTTTTTATTAAGGAACTTAATTTATTACTTAAATGTATGAAGTTTGTGGCGTGAGTCATTAGTGAGTGAGGAAATTAATACAAGAGAGCATTCCCACTTTTTCGAGAAAATGGGGTGATTTCATTAATAAGAAATTTGTTATGACGTCATAAACATAGATAATACACAATGCGAGAGAAAAAGAGAAAAAAAACGAAATGCCAAGTTTGGATTCGAACGCGCGACATCTGGTCCGCATTCCTGACTCGTAATGCTAGACCACGACCGGGATGCATTATGTTTTTGCAAAAATTTGGACGGTTAGGGAAAAATTCAAAGCGGATTCATACACCACACTTATAGGACTATTTATATAGTTGTATAACAATTAAATCAAATAAAAGTAGAATTTTTTGAAATGACGTCATCAAATTGTTGGTGGGGATGATTTTTAATATACACCTAAAATTTGACAACAATCGGTCCAGCAGACAGACGGAAATGGAAGACTACTTTTTTCATACTCTAAGGGTCATGAATATAAAAGTGGCCATTCGTCCGATAGACTCGAATTCTATACTTCCTTAGCTTACGCTCGGAAAGTTAAAAACGGTTTGTTTTCAATGTTTTCAAACAGGTTTTTTTTTAACCATAGGACGTGTTTTTTTTGTGTCATTATTTTTTTAATTATCCCTTTCAGATGTTTGATGTGATTGATGTTTCTTGTTGTTTTAAACAGTGTGCAAATTAATGAAATCAATTTATTTTTTATACTTTTTTTAATGAATAATATTACCAAATTGGTAGCATTATTCATTACAAAAAATTCCATCCTATGCTGACAACTTAGCACAAAACATATCAACAAAATTCTTTAGCTCATCGTCTGAGAACTTATTTCATCTACAGATCACGGCGCGCTCAGACCAATGTTGACTCTAAAATCGAAGAATTAAAATATCGAAAAATTGAAAAAAAAACAGAAATTGGAAAGTTTCCAAAACTGAGACATTGAAAAGTCGAAAAATTTTTTAAATTGAAAAACCAAAATGGTAAGGAATCGAAACAAAAAAATCGTAAAACCGCAAAATTGAATAATCAAAAAATCGAAGAATTGAAAAATAGAAATATACTGAACTGAAAAACCGAAAAATCGAGAAATCGAAAAATCGTGAAATCGAAACTCCAAAATTAAAAAAATTGAAAAATTAGAAAATCGAAAAATCGAAAAATTCAAAAACTGAGACACCGAAATTAGTCAAAATCAAAAAAATGGAAAAGTTAAAAATCAAAAAATTAAAATGCATAACCGAAAAGTTAAGAATTCGGAAAATTAAAAAATTAAATATAAAAGAACTGAAAACTCGAGAAATCACAAAATCCAGAATTTTAAAAATTGAAAAATCGAGAAATCTAAAAATTAAAATGTTGACATATACTTTAAAAATCGAAAAACGAAGTTGGCAAAAAACATAAACATAGAAAAATCGTAAAACCGCTAAAATTGAAAAATCGAAAAACTGAAAAATAGAAATAGTGAAGAACTGAAAAATCGAAGAATCGGAAAATCTAAAATTTAAAACATTCAAAAATTAAAATATGGAAAAATTGAAAAATCGGGAAATCCAAAAATTCGGAAAATTGAAATAGAGAAGAATTCAAAGCTTGAGGAAACGAAAAATCTAGAATTTTAAAAGTTGAAAAGTTAAAATATCGAAAAGTTGAAAAATTGGGAAATCTAAGTATAAAACAGTCGAAAAATTGAATAATCTAAAGTTAAAAACCTTAAATTCAAAATGTACAAAATCGAGGAATCAAAAAATCCAGAAAAAATCGAAAAGTTGAAGAATCAAAATGAAGAAAAATTTTAAAAAAGAAAAATTTGAAAATCGAAAATTTAAGAACTCGGAAAATTAAAAAATGAAATATAAAAGAACTGAAAAATCAAACATTGACATTTATTTTAAAAATCGGAAAACCAAGTTGACAAAAACTAAACATAAAAAAATCGTAAAACCGCTAAAATTGAAAAGTCGAAAAATTGAAAAACAGAAATGTTGAGGAACTGAAAAATCGGAAAATCTAAAATTTAAAACATTGAAGAATTAAAATATGGTAATATTGAAAAATCGAGAAATCCAAACATCAAAAAAATACAAATTTGGATACCTAAAATTTAGAAATCGAAAAACTGAAAACTGGGACATGGAGAAATTGAAAAATCAGTGGATCGAGAACTAAAGGAGTCGAAAAATCGAGAAGTAAAAACATTGAGAAAGCAAAATAGCCCAAAATCGAAAAATCGCAATTTTGAAAAATTAAAGTATCGAAAAATTGAAAAATCTAGAAAACGGAACTCAAAATTTAAAAATTGAAAAATCGCATCACTGAAAAATCGAAAAATCGAAAAGCCGAAAAGTAAAAAATCAAAAAACCGAGAAATCGAAAAATCGAAACATCGAAAAATTGAAAACTGAAACATCAAGAAATCGAAAAAATCAAAGGATCGAGAAACAGAGGAATCGAACAGTCGAGAAGTCGAAAAATTAAGAAACCGAAATAGGCCAAAATCGAACAATGGAAGAGTTAAAAATTGAAAAATTGATAAATCGAGAAATTGAACAATCAAAACATCGAGACATCAAAAATTTTAAAAATCGGAAAACTGAAAAATTGAAATACATATAGAAGAATTGAAAGCTCGAGAAAACGAAAAATCCAGATTTTTAAAAGTGGAAAAATTAAAATATCGAAAAGTTGAAAAATTGAGAAAGTATAGTGAAAGTATAAAACAGTTGAACAATTGAAAAATTTAAAGTTAAAAACGAAAAATTCAAAATTCAAAATGTACAAAATCGAGGAATCAAAAATCTAGAAGTCAAGAAAGCGAAAAATCGAAGAATCGATATACTGAAATATCGAAAAATTAAAAAATGTAAGAAAAATTGAAGAATCGAAAAATTGAAAAATCCCAAAACTGGAAGAAATACCCAAAAATTGAGAAATTAAAACATCGAAAATCGAGCTATTTTAAAAAAGAATTGAAAAATCGAAAATTTAAAAATTCGGAAAATTGAAAAATTGAATCATAGAACTGAAAAGTCGAGAAATCAAAATATCTAAAATTTTAAAAATTTAAAAATTAAAGTACAGAAAAGTTGAAAAATTGAAAAATCGAAATATTAAACAGTCGAAAAACTGAAAATCCAAACAGTAAAAAATCCAGAAGTCGAAAAATCGAAAAATTTAAGAATCGAAATACTGAAAAACTGAAGAATCGAAAAATTCAAAAATCCCAAAATTGAAAGAGATCCAAAAATTGAGAAATTAAAAAAATAAAAAACTTAGAAATCGAAAAGGCAAAAAAAGCAATTTCGAAAAATCGAAACCTTAAAAAATCGAAAAATTGAAGTACTGAAAATTTAGAAACATCAAAATTGTAAAAAATTTAAAAATCAAAATATTTAAAAATCGTAAAATTGAAGAGGAGAAAAATTGAGATATCGTAAAACTAAAACATTGGCAAACTGAGAAATCGTAAAACTGTAACATCGGCAAATTGAGAAATCGAAAAATAAAAAAATCGGGAAATCAAATATTTGAAGAATGAAAAATTGAAAAATTGAGAAACCTAAAGTTGAAAAATCGAGAAATCGAAAAGCCGAAAAATCCCAATATCAAGGATAAAAATTCAAGGCGTATTCATAAATCACAAGTTCAGGACTATGCTAATTTTTAACGCTTAAATAACATTTACTTATTTGAGAAACTTGTAAGATGAGATCAATTCCTGAGGGGCATGAACGGATAGATTTTGACTAACGATTTAACATGCTTCCAATTGTAAAATGTTGTTTTTTTTCCAAAAATCTTAATGCCTAAGGTAAAAACCGTAAACGGAGGATATAAAATTTAAATATATAATATTAGCTATTGTAAAATTTTGGAAGTTACGTCATTTCGTTGTTGGATTTCAAAAGATTATCTTGTGTCTTTGTAATCCACTTTGCATGGAAAGCTGCTAATAAAACTAGTTTTTTTCTTTAATTTCATTCCCATTTTACTTCCCGAGCGTAAGCTAAGGAAGTATAGTAATCAAGTCCATCGGACGAATTGCCACTTTTATGTTTTCTCGACGTTTCATGGCCCCTACAGTGCGAAAAAAGTAGTCTACCGTTTATGTCTTACTGTCTGTCTGTCTGTCTGGTGTCTGTATCCATTTTTATTAAACACGTAATCTCCGAAACTGCTAATTTACTTGAAGCTAAAGCTGCTCTTTTATTTCCTCCACCTTCCAGCGAGTCATTTTTCCCTTAATCTTGGAGACGATCACATTAGAAATATTCATACATCGTATCTTATCAAATTTGTACATAGTTAAATTGCTGGAGAGATTTTTCTCGTCAATTAGGAACTTTACAAAGAATTAATACATAATTACGCAAAATTTTAAAAAGTCAAGGATAAAAAATCGTTAAAAATGAAAAAAAATCTGGCCTGACACACCTACAGGAATGTTGTCTATAATGCTCAATTTTAAATCAGTGGATTAATTAAATTGGAAACCCTTTTGAGTCTAAAAACGAATCATCGGTGGGAAGATAAAATTGCCACTATGAGCAATGAATTACTCAGTTATGTTGGGTTCATTCTGTTGCAGCTGTCTCTTCACGATAAGTTTTCAAAGATTTGGCTTTTCAGTGTAAGCTTAGCGATATTTTTGCTCTCCAAATGTTTTTATAAAGGAACAAGGTGTATATTTTGCATGGCATTTATTAGTTACATGTATGCAAGTTTGTGGCTTGAGTCATTAAGAGAGTGAGGAAATTAATACAACACCAGTAACAGATGCACCCACGAAAATAATTACTTAATATAAGAATTTACGAGGCTTGTTGTTTGTAAACATTTCTCGGATTATTTTTTAATACATTTTTTATATTTTGTGCCCGCCCTTGACTCTTTAACACGTATGTTTCTCACACCAATTTCCATGTCATAAACATTTTTTTTTGAAGACCTTCGGAACGCGTTTCTCCATAAAAAAAAATATATCCTAATCAGTACCTTCATTTCAAAATTGAAAAATTTATTTAATAATAACTAAGTTGTTAATAAATAACATGGCATAATATCTAGAAGCTTCCTCCACTTTCACAGGCATAAACATCGTTGAACCAGTTCAACATTTGCAATTATAAATCTAATCTTCAATAAACCTTGGGCTTCGGAAACCTTCCAGTTGAATTCAGCATAAACAATTTTTTATAAGGATCAGAACCATAATTTTCTAACCGAAACCTGTTTCACAAAATCATCGGAAGTGCGTAAAATAGTTCGGGAAAAAAAATTCGAGGAAGTTCGTTGAGATGTATTTACAAAAAATATAATGAGGCATTTCAATGTCACACTTTTTATTTTTAACATGTCGTTAGACAATAGTCTCACTAATTAACCCCTGGTTTGACAAGCAGAAACCGATACCTCCCTCGAGAGCCCTAACTTTCTAACCCATGCACAACACATTCCCTTCAGCTTCTAATCCAATTTACTCCAAGTTAAAACTCCCCTCTTTCACTCCCTCCAACTACTCATTTTTTGTTAATCTTGCAGACAATCGCATACAAAGCTCGCCATTTCGGCTACTTCTCCAAGCGTACAATTTCATACTCCTTATCAACCTTATCAAGTTTATACGTGACTAAAACCGCCGGCGAGATACTCTTTGACGGTTACGAAGAGAGCATCCTCAGCATTCTAAGCAGCGTCCCATTGACCGGGATCACAGACAAGTTCGGCTTGTTTTACGGGGTGAGTTGAGAAGTAAGTCACAAGAATCTCTCATCAACTCACCAAAGCGACAATTTTTTTATCTCACAGAAAAACGGCACGATCGGCGGCGATGGAATCTTCAGCATGTGGACCCAAGTCGATGAAAAGTTCGGAAAGATCATCACGTGGAACCACAGGAACGAATCTGACTATTACGAGGGCGAATGTAACGCCGTCAAGGGGTCGGCGGGCGAATTTTACCCCATCAATCAGAAACCAGATTACATTGAATTCTTCTCATCCGAACTGTGCAAATTTGCCAAGCTCGAATACGAAAAGGATGTGGTTGTTAAAGGGGTGAAGGGGTACAAGTACACGGGGAAGAATATCTTTGATAACGGTAAGCTCGTATTGTTTCTCAAGGGTCTGTATTAAGACTGGGTCTTTTTGTCCCGTTTGTTAAAGATCTGACAACCATTTTAACATAATTTTTGTTATCCCAGGCACCCTCCGTCCCGATAATAAGTGCTTCTGCGTGGGTGAATGCCAACCTTCCGGCATTTTCAACGTGTCGTCCTGCCGCCAGGACTCCCCGACTTTCCTCTCGATGCCGCACTTCTACAATGCGGACCCTTACTACATAAACGCAATCGAAGGGCTGAAACCCGAAGACAAGCACGAATTTTACATTACTCTCGAACCGGTGAGTGTCCGAGAATACGCTCCAACTTTCACTTGAATCGAGTTCGAGGCGAGTACACAAAGCCTCAAGTCTTTAATCTGAAAAGTTTGAAATTCGTTTCGGAGGGTTGTACCAAGTTTTGTAAACTTTTCATTAACTTTGCAGAAATCAGGGATTGTGATCGACATAGGGGCGAAGATGCAGGTCAACGTGCTGTTGCAACCCATCCCCTATATCACGTAAGTCTACCTGAAAATACCACAAGACATACTAACATTTTTTTTATTTTTATTTTTTAGTATGTACGAAAAGGTGCCAAAGCTCGTCTTCCCAGTATTCTACTTCGACCAAAACCTCCCCGCCACCGACGACTTAGCCTCAATTTTAATCCAAATCCAAAGTCTTCCTGACGTGAGCAACATCGCCGTCCTGATATTACTAACTCTAGGTTTAGCCTCCATCGTCTGGATCCTCATCAACATGTATTGTTGGTCCAAGAAGAAAAAGGAAATCCAGACCCAATGTAAAATACCTCAAAACACTGTGACCGTCGAAGAAATTCCGCTTCATCGTTGAAAGCTGCCTTTTTATGATTATGGAACTTTTATCGTTGTATTACGATAATTATTACTGTTATGTTAGTTTTATTTATATTAAAACGTTAAAACCAACCCCCGTTAAATATATCCTGCGATAAAACCCTGCCGTAAAATATTGAGACGGTAAACGTTGGGAGTTATTGGCACTTTAAATGAACTGCAACACGAGGGTTAATCCCACAGCTCCCGATGACAATTCCAGCGTTACACATTTCGGGGAATGTTATCGGCGTCCTTGACACAGTCCTGCAGGATCTGAGGGGTTATCGCACACAGGACAATACTAAATCTAGGGTTGTTCGTGTGTGATTGTCATAGAAATCAACTGCAGGAGATGAGAGTTGTTTAGAGGAGGTCGTGTGCATTGTGGAGTGCATATGTAGCACGCATGCAAGAGTAATCGATAGTTGGTGTTGGAGAGGTTTAGTGTGTGACATAAACCCTTCGTGTGTGAACTGTAAAGTTGGTTGCAAATTATGCCAACACAAATACTTAACCAGAAGAGGAGCATAAGAGCCTACGCTCTTAAAGATAAATACTAGAATCTGATAAAGTTTGAGAATTGGAGTTGGTTAGAAAACAAGTGGGGACTTGGCGTATTTATGAATGAAATGTGTAGTAGGCGTATTTGACAAGAGTGTGTACTCTTTGGAGTTGGCTTGATACATGGCGTGCAACCACTGAATAAAGTCAACACTTGGATTTATTTATGAATTATTCAAATAATAATTTTTTGAAATGTCACAAAATTCACATTTTTACAGACCAAAAAATACAAGAGTCTTGGATTTGCTTGGAATAGAGATGTTAGTGATTATAGTAATCGAGTCCATCGGACGAATGGCCACTTTTATATTTTCTCGACGTTTTATGACCCCTAAAATACGAAGAAATAGGTCTCCCGTTTCCGTCTGTCTGTCCGAAAGTACTGGGGCCGATTCTTGTCAAATTTTATATTGATGTTGGGAATATCATGTAGATCGTATAACGCTAACCAAAATTTGTCTAATCATCCCCGCAAAATTTTGGATAATTAATAAGTATATTTTAAATTTTATAAAATATTATATTTCCACACTTGTATTTTGTGAATCCACCCTGCTTTTGTTTATTATTATTATAATTATTATTGGTCAGCATCACTGTTCTTTTACCACATAAAGCCTAGTAATGGCAGAGAATGTATATATGCATACTTCCATCCTCCAAAAAATTTACTATTTTTTAAGTTTCTTGCTGTGAAAAGAAGACTACGTATGGTAAGAAAAAAAAATGGGAAAAAATGAGCCCGCCCACCCACCCTATCTCAATTGTGATGATCTTTTTAATCGACGTGAGCCAGGAGGTGGAATTTAATTGCAAAATCCTTATTTCTCTACAAACTTTATTGCTCTGACAACAAATGAAAAATTCATTACAATTTAGATCGGGGCGAGTGAGTGGGGCTTTAATCTTTGCCTTTTTTTTTTCTTAATATATACATATATAGTTTTCTTTCAACAATAGAATACTTAAAATATTTGGTAACTTTGAGTTTAGTTATCATAATTAATAACTGCTATTATTACACTGTGGTTTATCCATGTGGTTTATAACGCATTCATATTTTTCCATTATTGTTGGTACGATACATCAATCAATGCACTGGATGTAATAAACACAACTAAAGTATGATTTATTAATGAATGCATAAAAAGGTCTCTCCCGGAAACTTTACAAGAATAACGTGTGCTGCATTAGTTGCTTATCGGCGGAGTGACCGTCGCCGTCGCGCCCAGACATATAAACAATTCGTCCAAATATATAAACAAGCGTAATGTGGATTCTGTAGTGAAGTAAAGTGTGCTTGAATGTTGAACAAAAATGTGGTCTAGGGTTACTTATACACAACTTCCGTCGCCCTTGAAATGCAGTCGAACAAATACATAGTTTAGCTTTGTTTAGATAACGCGTCGACAAATATTTTATTTTTCGGTGTTGTGGAAATAAACGTTCTATAAAACACAAAATGTTCAAAAAATTATAAAGTTTAATTTTGCGAATTTTATTTTTACTTCCTGAGTGTAAGCACAGAAAATTTTAATCGAGTCTATTGGGGGGCGACTGGCAACTTTTGTGTTTTCTCGACATTTCGTGACCCATAGAGTATGAAAAATTAGGTGTCCTGGTTCAGTCTGTCTACCCTCTGTTCAGATTTTCATTAGGCAGATAATCTCCAAAACTACCGGACCGATTGTGTTTTATATGTATGTTAGGAATATAGCGTAGATGATAAAATGCTAATCAAAATTTGCCCAATCTTCCTATCAATGTCATGACATTTCAAAAATTTTTATAATAAATTTTATAAAATAGCATACTCGTCTATTTGATTTATTGGATACAAATTCGTAAAATCATTTTTTTTTTATTTTTCAAGGAAGCCGGATTTGTGGCATTATATTTCGACCAATTTTTTTTAAATGTAAAACCTTCTCAGGTGCAACAAATATTTTTTTACAAAGTGAAATCTTCTCGGGGGTCGTAACTGTCTTTTTTAAAAATGTAAAACCTTCGGGGGGGGGGGAGGGGGCAAATGTCTTTTTTTAAGAATGTTTAACTTTCTCGGTGGTCCCAACTGTCTTTTAAAAATGTAAAAATCTTCTCGGTGGCACCAAATGTCTTTTTTTTTTAAATGTGAAATCTTCTCGGGGGTCCAAATTGTCTTTTTTTAAAAATGTAAAACCTTCTCGGAAGCCCCAAATGTTTTTTTATATGTGAAACCTTCTCAGGTGTCCCAATTGTCTTTTTTTAAAATACAAAACCTTCTTGGGAGCCCCAAATACATGTCTTTTTATTTAATGTGAAATCTTCTCGGGGGTCCCAACTATCTTTTTAAAATTGTAAAACCTTCTCGGGGGGCCCCAAATGTATGTTTTAAGAATGTGAAACCTTCTCGGGGGTCCCAACAGTCTTTTTGAAAAATGTAAAACCTTCTCGGGACCCCCAAATGTTTTTTTAGAATGTGACATCTTCCCGGGGGTTCCAAATGGCTTTTTAAAAATGTCTTTTTAAAAATGTAGAACCTTCTCGGGGGTGTCAACTGTTTTTTTTTTTTTTTTAATGTAAAACCTTCTCGACGGCTCCAAATGTATTTTTTAAGAATGTGAAAATTTCTCGGGGGTCCAACTGCCTTTTGAAAAATGTAAAACCTTCTCGGGAGCCCCAAATGTTTTTTTATATGTGAAACCTCGGGGATCCCAACTGTCTTCTTTAACAATGTAAAACCTTCTCTGAGACGCCAAACATTCTTTTTTTTTAGAATGTGAAATCTTCTCCAGGTCCCAACTGGCATTTTTAAAAATGTAAAACCTTCCTGGGGGCCCCAAATGTATTTTTTTTAATGTAAAACCTTCTCCGGCTCTCAACTGTTTTTTTTAATGTCAAACCTTCTCGACGGCTCCAAATTGTCTTTTTAAAAAATGTAAAAGCTTCTCGGGAGCACCAAATGTTTTTTTATACGTGAAACCTTCTCGGGGATCCCAACTGTCTTCTTTAACAATGTAAAACCTTCTCTGGGACGCCAAACGCCTTTTTTTTAGAATGTGAAATCTTCTCGGGGGTCCAAACTGGTTTTTTAAAAATGTAATCCTACCTTCCTGGGGGTGCCAAATGTCTTTTTTTTAATGTAAAACCTTCTCGGGGGTCCCAACTGTTTTTTTTTAATGTAAAACCTTCTCGACGAGTCCAAATGTATTTTTTAAGAATGTGAAACCTTCTCGGGGGTCCAAATTGTCTTTTTTAAAAATGTAAAACCTTCTTGGGGGCACCAAATGTTTTTTTATATGTGAAACCTTCTCGGGGATCCCAACTGTCTTCTTTAAGAATGGAAAACCTTCTCTAAGACGCCAAACGCCTGTTTTTAAATGTGAAATCTTCTCGGGGGTGTCAACTGGCTTCTTTAAAAATGTAAAACCTTTCTGGGGGCGCCAAACGTCTTTTTTTAGGAAGATGAAACCTTCTCGGGGGTCCCAACTGTTTTTTTTTTAATGTAAAACCTTCTAGATGGCTCCAAATGTATTTTTTAAGAATGTGAATCCTTCTCGGGGGCCCAAATTGTCTTATTTAAAAATGTAAAACCTTCTCGGGAGCACCAAATGTTTTTTTATATGTGAAACCTTCTCGGGGATCCCAACTGTCTTCTTTAACAATGTAAAACCTTCTCTGAGACGCCAAATATCCTTTTTTTTAGAATGTGAAATCTTCTCCGGGTCCCAACTGACATTTTTAAAAATGTAAAACATTCCTGGGGGCCCCAAATGTATTTTTTTAATGTAAAACCTTCTCCAGGCTCTCAACTGTTTTTTTTAATGTAATAATATAATAATAATACTTTATTTACCTTCAGAAAATATTATACAGAAAAATAGAAAATATTTAAGAAGGGATTGTCAAAATAAAATAAACACTACAAACACATAGCACCAAAATAGTGCAAAAAATACAAGATGGTATCTACATATTACACGATAACATGTACCTACTTACAATGAACTAATAGACGCTACACGCTTTCTTAAAAAAGTCATTAAACTCATAAAAATTTCTATCCAAAAGAAATATTTTTAATTTAGCTTTGAACGTACGCAAATTAGGTGCATCTTTTATTTCATAGTCCAAGTTGTTAAAAAATTTGCAACAATTGAAATGTAAACTTCTTTGAAAGTGGGCTGTTTTGTGTTGAGTTGGCAATAACAACTTCTTGTGTCTAGTATTGTACTCATGATCTGTTCGAGTTTGACTGAACTTGTTAATATTTTTATATGTGTAACATAACATCTCATAGATATATATATGCTTGGTAATGTTAAGATTCTGTGCTGTTTAAAGGCGGATCTACAAGAGTGCATACTTTTAATTCCGGCTAAGATTCTAATTGCCCATTTCTGTAAAATAAAAACTCGTTGAAAGTCAGCAGAGTGCCCCCAATGAATAATGCCGTATGTTAGAAGACTTTGAAAGCAAGCAAAGTATAGTTGTTTTACTGTAGAATAATTACACTGTCTGGCTACATTCTTGAGTGCATAACAAAC